TAAGCATGGAGGCTGATCAACCCTGAGCATCTAGAAGACAAGCCTGCACTAGGAAATGGAACAAGGGCAGGACTGCCTTCTAAACACCATTATCTGGAGTTATTTGTTAGCTCATTTGTTTACTTTCCCAAATATGAGTTCTAAGTCAGGGAGTTTATCTTGCTTACAGCTATATTCCTGGGTCTATAGCAGGACCTTGTATACAGCAGGTGCTCACGTAAACACCTGTTAATCAACGAACAAATCCCTGAGGGCAGAAACTGGCTAACTCATGTATGTATTCCTCAACACTTTCAAAGAATGTATATAAATGATGCTCAAAAACATACATATTTTTTAAAGGTGCATGCCCTAGATTTTTCCAATATACATCAAATTTTCTTGGTGAAAAGTCAAAGACAAAATTTTCCAACTATCAGCTTTGCACAACCCACCTGGGCAACCAGCAATCCAGCTGGGCCCTTTCTGCTTTGTAAATAATAGCTGGCAACAAAGCCTGAGCAATTAGAGCTCAGCTGTCAGTTGTGCTCACGATGGTCAGGACAGCCAGGGACACTATGGCCCCCTGTGTTTCTGCCTCCCAAGGGTAGCACAGCATTCCCTTTGGCTGCAGCCACTGCCAGAGGCATGTTAGCAAGTAGATGCTCCTCACACTGCCCTGAAACCCACAACCGTACCTCTGAGGGATGGATTTCCACAACAGAGGAAGGATAAAGGGATTTCATTTCTCTGTTATATCAAGAACCAATAAAAGGGGAGTTAGCTTTTGTGAAGTGGGGTACACCAGGCTCAAGCATCAGCTTGACTGACTCACCCCCATGGTCTGCACAAGTCCCCCAGCTGCCAGTTTTAAGTCAACTGCCTGCTCAAAGGCTCTTCCAACAGTCATTGGTTTTAGAAAGCGTTCTATTCCTGGAAAAAAGCCCTGAGGGTATCTCCTATGATATCAAACAAATCCTTTCTGGGATCCATATTTCACTACACAGGAGCAGGAACACAGGTACTAATCCAAGACTCAGGCCTGGTATAATCTGGACTTCCACTTACCAGCTGTGTGACTTCAAGTACATGATTTAGTCTGAGTCTCAGTTTTCTTATTTGTGAGATGGGATTCCCTCTGCATTACAGGGTTCCAGAGGAAGTAATGAGGGAACCACATTATGATAAATACGGTGCTTGATACCCAATAGGCAGTTATGAATGCTTGTTCCTTCCCTTATGAGGGGGAGGGGAAGGTTAGTGAACAGCCGCCTCACATGGGCAGGCCTCATGGGGTCTCACACACAGGGAAAGAAAGCAGCTCATGAGAGAGAAAGTATGGAAACAGCAGCTTCTGGCTCTTATATGTCTGAAAAAGTACACAATGTGAATGACAGAGGCCGTCCCAAGTACATAAAGAACTAATCTCTTTGCAAAGGGAGGAAATAACACAGGATGAAGATTGTAAGTTGTTTGAAGCTTCTTTCCTAATTACCACTCATAATGAAAATTTAATTGCCAAGTTAAAAGCAAATTTTCACTTTTTCTGTCAGAGAATCTCTGTGAAACTGGTACATTTTGTTTGAACAGGAAATCAAAGTTACTTTAATGCTTAAATGAATCTAAGGAACTGCAGATGTTTCACTGGGAATAACAAGCTTCAAAACTCTGCTTTACGGGGTTGCAGCAATTCACGGCTATAGGGAGAAGAGAAGCTGTTTTGAGCTGAGTAAACCAAAGGGGTGGAAGGGATTCAAATCAAGATTAAGAAACTGAAATTAAAATCTTCAGGTCATGGAAGAATAGTGAGAAACAAACACATACCACTGCTTAATTCTGACCCATGTGAGGGTCAACCAAAAGACTGCTCACCTGTAAGGTGCTGGTGAGGAAGTTGTCTTGGGAAACAATGTCTACAAAGAAGTCGGCAGGATCTCACCAAGCTGGTGGTACAGGAGGGAGATGAGGTTGCTGTAGAGGCATGGTGCTTCACCATGGCTGCTTCTGACCGGCACAGGAGTTCAGGAGCCTCTTCCAGTGCTCAAATGCCTCGTACACGTTCCCCAGCAGGAAGCACACAAAGGCAAACTGGAGTTCACCTGCAAGTGCACAGAGAGAATGATTCTGAGAGAGGACCAGCTGACACTACCCTTCACTGTTCACAAGGCCGTCAATTCCACTGGCCCTCAGCAATGGGTGACTTTTATCCTTGTCATTCCTGCAGACCCTTGTATGGGATTTTGCATCTAGCAAGGTACTCATAAATGTTTGCTGAACTGCCATAAATTCAAGCCAATTGAGACCAAAACTGTGGCTTTGTATTTCTGTGAAAGCAGAGTGCAGGAGAAGAGATAGAGATTATTTGCCTGGCATTTTAAAAGTTTACAAAATGTGTCCATGGATTATTATGCCAAGTGGATCCCAAACCTGGCTGCCCATCAAAATCACTAGGAGAGCCAAGTCACACTCTGTGATTCTAATTGAGGAAAGAGATGGGGCCTCAGTTTTTGTAGCTCTAACAGCTTCCCAGGTGATTCTGATGTAGATGATCTGCTCCAAAGTCAGGGAAATGCTGCATTACCAGGAAACCTTCAGCCCAACTCCACAAGGATTAATCAGGGAAGGTGGTATTTGCCTCATTTTATAGATGAGGTCAAGGGCTTGCCCAAGCTTGCCCATCTAATGTGTCATGATATGAACAATGGAAAGATAAATTCTTCATTGGGTAGGAATAGTTCTAGAAACTTCCACAACAGGAAAATTCATGAGTACTTATTCCAGGGTTAGCCTTCCAGCCAGATTATTATTATTTTTTTTTTATTTTGTTTTTGAGACAGGAGTCTCACTTTGTTGCCCAGGCTAGAGTGAGTGCCATGACATCACCCTAGCTCACAGCAACCTCCAACTCCTGGACTCAAGCAATCCTTCTGCCCCAGCCTGTAGCTGGGACTACAGGCATGTGCCACCATGCCGGCTAATTTTTTCTATATATATTAGTTGGCCAATTAATTTCTATCTATTTATAGTAGAGACGGGTTCTCGCTCTTGCTCAGGCTGTTTCGAACTCCTGACCTCGAGAATCCGCCAGTCTTGGCCTCCCAGAGTGCTAGGATTACAGGCGTGAGCCACCGCCCGGCCACCAGCCAGATTATTTTGTTTGTTTAATCATAGGGCTCTGTGATGTAATCTCTATGAGCAGTCTGGTGGCTAAGAGCATGGGCTCTGGAGCCAAACTGCCTGGATGCAAATCTTAGCTCTACCACTTAGCAGCTGTGTGACCTTGGCAATTTACTTAATCTATTTAAGCCTCAATTTCCTTATTTGAGGGTTGTAGCAAAGATTAAATTAATCGATACAGTACATGTAAAGCATTTAGAATAATACCTGGCACAAAGTAGCACTCAAAAAGTACTACTGTTTTCAATTTCAGTAGATGCTGGAAGAAAGCGTCTTAAACAAAAAGAACCATGATCCAAAAGCCACTGTCGGTGGGCAAGCAAGGGTCTCTGGTTGCCACAGTTATACTGCAGCTGATCACAGACATTCTCTCTGGCTTCAAGGGTGGCTGTAAATTTAATGAGGTATAGACACATGTGTACCATAAAAAGAACAGATGCACTTGGACAAGGTGGTCCTTGCCTGTGATCCCAGCACTTTGGGAGACTGGAGGCAAGAGGATCACTTGAGGCCAGGAGTTCAAGAGAGGCTGGCTAACAAAGCAAGATCTCTGTCTTCACAAAAAATTGTTTAAAAAATTAGCCAGGTCTGGGCGTAGTGGCTCTTGCCCATAATCCTAGCACTTTGGGAGGCCAAGGTAGGGACCCCTTGAGGCCAGGAGTTCAAGACCAGCCTGAGCAACATAGTGAAACCCTCCACCCCCTGACCCATCTCTACAAAAAAAAAAAAAAAATAGAAAAATTAGCCAGGTGTGGTGGTGAACTGCTGTAGCCAGTTACTCAGAAGGCTGAGACAGGAGGATCGCTTGAGCCCAGCAGTTTGAGTTTCAGTGAGTTATGATCATGCCGACTGTACTCTAGCCCGGCAACAGAGTAAGACCCTGCTCAAAAAAAAAAAAAAAAAGAAAGAAAGAAAAATTAGCCAGACATGATGGTGAACACCTATAGTCCTAGCTACTTGGGAGGCTGAGCTAGGAGGATCCCTTGAGCCCAGGAGTTTGAGGTTGCAGTGAGCTATGATTGAGCCACTGCACTATAGCCTGGGTGACAAAGGGAGGGAGATCCTGTCTCAAAAAGAAAAAAGAACAGATGTGCTTAACACCAAGTACCTCTTTAAACACACAGCCTTTGATTTCTATAACCTTCAGATACCTGGAAAAACTGGCTCCCTGTTTCTAAGCTTATGGAACTAAGTTTGATTTGTAATGAATAGCTACCTAGGTCTAGATATTTTGGACATTTGACCAATATTTTCAAAATATAATCAAATTTTCTTTAATTAATAGAGGTTATGATTTGCCTCTTCAGCTGACTTTTCCTGGTTAGTTTGTGAAACTAAATATTAGCCTATTCTTTCATTTGGAGCACTTAGTTAAATTTGTGCAACTTCTCACCTTGTCTAAAATTAAATTGATATTGAAATAATTTCAAAAAGTAGTCATGTAGACTCAAAGTTATCCCTGTAACAGACCTTTTCACAAGATATATTTTGAAGAACTGAAATTTTTTAAAGGTAGAAAAATAGGATTTCTATTTATTTTTAAGCCATAATTTCAAGTGTAATTACTACATGAAAATATTAGGCCAGGCTTATACCTGTAATCCTAGCACTCTGGGAGGCCGAGGCGGGCGGATTGCTCAAGGTCAGGAGCTGACCTCGAAACCAACCTGAGCAAGAGCAAGACCCCGTTTCTACTGAAAATAGAAAGAAATTAACTGGCCAACTAAAAATATATAGAAAAAATTAGCCGGGCATGGTAGCGCATGCCTGTAGTCCTAGCTACTCGGGAGGCTGAGGCAGGAGGATCGCTTGAGCTCAGGAGTTTGAGGTTGCTGTGAGCTAGGCTGATACCATGGCACTCTAGCCTAGGCAAAAGAGTGAGACTCTGTCTAGAAAAAAACCAAAAAATACTAAATAATGCATTAAAATGTACCCATTAAAATAAATGTCCCTTATTTGATCAGCAGAGCCAATGGTATAAAAAGTCATATAATCAAATTTCCGGCCCAACTTCCAATAAGAAAATATGCAAATGACCTGAACAATTTGGAAAAAAAAAATACATAGCTGTAAAGATAAGACAAATGTTTGCTGTCACTAATATTTAAGAAATATAAATAGAAACAAGATCCCATTTTTCAACCATCCAATTGGAAGAGGACTTTGCTAAATTACCATGCTCACTGCTATCAAAGGTGATGGACAACTGCCTCCTATCAGGTGGCAGAAATGCACAATCTTCTCCTGGCAACATGTACACTCTGATCCAACAATTCTAACCCTAAATGTATGCATAAATTCACACAAGGATGTTCATTAGATGGTATTTATAGTAAGGAAAAATATGACTATCTTAAAGGTCCATCAAGAGAACCCGTTCAATAATTAGATAATACTAAACAGTCACTAAAAAGGAGTGACTATTTCAGTGACATGGAAAAATGCTTATTAAAGCAGATTATAAAATAATATATTAATACTTTAATCCAGGCTGGGCGCAGTGGCTCACGCCTGTAATCCTAGCACTCTGGGAGGCCGAGACTGGCGGATTGCTCAAGGTCAGGAGCTCGAAACCAGCCTGAGCAAGAGCAAGACGCCATCTCTACTATAAATAGAAAGAAGTTAACTGGCCAACTAATATATATAGAAAATATTAGCTGGGCATGGTGGCGCATGCCTGTAGTCCCAGCTACTCGGGAGACTGAGGCAGGAGGATTGCTTGAGCTCAGGAGTTTGAGGTTGCTGTGAGCTAGGCTGACGCCACGACACTCACTCTAGCCTGGGCAACAAAGTGAGGCTCTGTCTAAAAAAAAATACTTTAATCCCATTTTTGTAAAAAGTCATATATATACATAAACACATATAACTGAATTTTTAAAAGACTAAAAGGAAATATTAATACTATAAATAGAGAAGACCAAGATGAAATACATAGAAATATATACAAAAAGGGGAAATATATCAAAATATAAAAATTTATTTCTAGGTAGTGGGATTTGGGGTGAAATTTTTGTTTTTATTTTATGATGAATATATATTATTTTTGCAATAAGGCAGGAAACAACAATAGAAACTGTAATGACTTAAAAAAAAATCACTGTCCTGGTCTGAGCCAGTAGAGAGACCAGCACCTTGAGAATCAGGGACAAATTGAGGCAGCAGGGGAGAGGCTACTCTGAACACAGGTCTGGCCTAGGAACCAGGAGCCTAGGGCTCTGGTCTCAGCTCAACCACTCAATCAGCCAAATTCTTTCCCTCTGGGCCATATCACTGGTTCCCAAACACAGGATTATCTGCACCAGGTTCACCTAGGATTCTTGTTTATTAGATAGACAGACAGACATAAATTGCTGGAGTTTCCCTCCAGATCTCCCGAATCAAGATTTCCAGGAGTACCGGTAAAGATGTATCTGCATCTTTAATGAGTATTCCAGGTAAGTCTGCCTCCTAGCCAGGTTTGGAACCCACTGGACTAGATTAACACAAATAAGACAAGACGCACTCCCTATTCTAAAGCATCTCTACTAATACCCTTCCCTTGGCCCACTCCCAAAGAGCCTTGCTCCTTCTCACCAAGCACATCCTGAGGGCTGCTGGGGAACTGCTTGCTGAGCAAAGTCTCGAGGGCATAGCTCAGGTCCATGCTGTGCCTGGTTATCTCTGCTGGTGTGGCACCTGCTGGGAACATCTGTTTGGGCAGTACTGAGAAGCGGATCTCTGTCCCAGCTCTGGGCTTCATTTCAGGCAACCGAGCCAGGCCCTCTTGGTAGCTTTTGCACTCAGTACCACAGCGGGGTAGATTCTGCCCTGCCCGGTCCTTGGTGTGCTTCATGGAGAGCACGGGTAGCACATCTGAGAAGGCACAGATCTGCCGGCTCTCGGGCTGCAGCCTCTCCATCGTGGCCTCACTGATGAAGTTGGTGAGTGAGATCCACTTCTTGAGTGTGGCATATGGGTAAGGTCCCAGGAACTGGTCCAGCTCCTGGAGATTGGCCCTCATGGCTTCCACCTCAGACTCTGGAACTGGGGACAGGTCTACCTCTTCCTGGACCGCATTCCAGTGCAGGACTGTCAGGCCCCGCTGCTGCAGGCTAAGGAAGAAGCCCATACGAGGGCCCACCTCCCTGGGATTGGCCTTGTCCACAGAGCTGTAGTGGAGGAAGTGGATGCCCGGAGGGATCATCTTCACGCCCCGGAACTTAGGTCCCACCTCCCAGGAGTTGTAATCAATGCCAAACTCCGTTCCCCTGGGCATGTTCAGGATGACCACAGTGGCCCCTTCAAAGAAGAGGCGCTTGGCTAGCTCAGGATCCATCTGCATGGTAGCCAGGGGACCAGTGGTGGCTGACTAAAAGAAGAACCCTTCCTTCTTCCTTATCTTCCAGAACAGCTGAAAAGGAAGAAGTCAGAGTTAATCAGAACCTTTGGAAGGAAGCTTATTTGCTGAACATTCTCTATGTGCCAGATATTGAATTACACTTCTAACATAATTATCTCTCTTAATCCTCATGATAACCGTGAAGATAACCCTGCATCCATTTTATAGATGATGAAAATGAGGATCAAAAAGAAAAGGAGGCTCCAAGTGTGGCCTCGGCCCGGGGTGTGTCCGGGCACTCGGCCAGAGGCGGCCGAAATGTCTATCATCCCTAGCCCCCAATAAATTTCAATAGCACTCTCCAATCTCCAATCATTGTGACAACCCAAGAAACCCTCAAGAATTCCCATAACTCTTCCTAGGATATAGCACTGCTTTCTTGAGGATCACTGTAATAATAGAGGACTCCAGATGAATTCACAAGAGAAGGGATCAAACAACAAGCTTTAATGAAGAAACTTAAGAACCAGAGATAGACAAGAAGAAAAGGCACTCCCAGATCTTCCCATTTTCCTGACAGAAAGGTTGCTGAGGCCAGGATGCTCTACTGGACACTCAGTGTAGGAATCCATCATGCAAGTAGGACTTGATCACCCAGTTGGAGGAAGAGCAACTGCAGATGCTGGATCTTCAGGGAGCTGAAGAGGGGATTGCCTAAAAATACCTGTCTAGACTTCGTGAAACTTATACCTGCTGGCTTTGACTCTCATCAATCTAGGAAAGGTGATCTCTCAAGGACAAACCTAGTGCTACTGCTCAGTCCTTTTCCTACTTGACATTTGAAGAGTTGGCACTTTTGGCCACTGTTAAGCCTTAAAACTTGAGCTTATTTAGGATCCATGATTCTCTGCCGATCCATACTTTTCCTACCTCGCAGCACTTCTCTGATTAATAATGATCAGCTTTGTGATTTGGGGCAAAGGTTAGATTAGAATAATCTCATTTTACAAGGTTATAATACTTGATGTAATACAACTGGATTATAAGCTTCTTAAAGACAGAAATCTTATTTTTGATTCCCATAAAAACATCACAAAATGCTGAGTGGACACTAAATGTCCTGTAATTATTGCTTGCTGATTCCTCTTTATCCACTGTAACCAGTCTGCTAGACTTTATTTGAAATGGCTTAATAATTGGTTACTTTTTATTTCTGCTGCTGCCAAGTTCTTGGTACCTTGGGCCTAGATTACTAAATGTATTGTTGTTGCCTTTGTCTCCCTGTCATTATCTAGCTCCTTACTAAACTACCACTTTGTTCAAAAATAGTCCAGTTTCCCAGTGTCCTCAATAAAAATTTCAAGGCATTTCACAGTTGGATATATTTATTTACTTTCTATCACTTCCCAAAACAGAGACAGTGCATGGTGGGCAGGCCTGTCCTTTGTCCGTACTATACCTTTTTCTCATACTTGGTTTCTTTTTAGACTATTACATGGCACCCTTTTCCACATCCTATTTTCTTTACATCTCCAGAAATCCTACACTTTTTAAAAAGTCCTGCTCATGTCCGGCCTCCTCTGTGATACTTTCAGTCCCTTACCTTCTTAGAAATCCTTTGTAGTAATTGTTTACATTATCTCCTACATCAGACACTTTTCTGTTTTCAGGTTTTTTTTTCCATAAGCTGTTTTGAGTTGGAAATCATCTTAAATCTGTTAAAAGCCCGATCTAACACATAGTACAATGCAGGCTTGGACTCTATTTTAATTGAAACTAAAAGGCTTTAACAGTATAATCTCTTTAGTCTTTTGAATGGTGAGGTAACCTCATAGATATTTTGGCCCATTTTGTCCTGCCTTGAATTATATATATGTAACTAACTCTTTAGATGAATTCCTTTTGAGCTCCTGGGATGCTGGCCCCTTGGCGATCCACTTCATGAGATTGTTATAAGGAATAAGTGAGTTTATTCATTAAAGTGATAAAAGGGTGTCTGACATATAGTAAAGGCTCAATAAATGCTAATTGTTATGATTCCAGTGCTTCAAAAAAAAAAAAAAGGAAAGGATTTTTGTGTTTTGGATTAATGAGCAAGAATACTCACTTCACAGCTATAAAGACACCAGTTAAACAAAAGTGATATGCTCAAGGTCACACAAGGATCCAAATTAGAATCTGGGTACCCTGACCTAGAGGCCAATGTTCTTTCCACTGTCTACACCAAGGATTTTCTCTCAGATCTCTCTCTCAAAACAGAGGATGACAGTGGAAAAAGCCTGATGGTTCCTTTTAAACTATAACTGTGCCACATCTTAAACTATAATTCTGTCTAAGAGCCATCACTGGAGAGCCCCCAGAAAATTTGGGAAGAATGATTAAATCAAGTATATACCCAGTTTCCTGTAAGCCTCAGGGAAGGCCCAGAAATAAATAGAAAGTGGAAACTAAGTATCTAAAATTTACAAAAGGCTTGGGGAATGGAGAGTTTTCAACCACAAATCCCTCTTCTTTTACTCATTAAAAAAACTAAACTCCAGGAAGTGAAACAACTTCCCAAAGGGTCTACAATCAGTGATAGCTCTGGATTATTTATCCAGAATGGATTTAGATGCCAGAGCTGGCCTAGGACCAGTAGTTAGAAGAAAAAGAGCTTAGAACACTTATTTTATCTATTTCTGAACTACCCATGGCAATATACTGATAAAACCTCCTTGCCGGGCGCTGTGGCTCACGCCTGTAATCCTAGCTCTTGGGAGGCCGAGGCGGGCGGATTGCTCAAGGTCAGGAGTTCAAAACCAGCCTGAGCAAGAGCGAGACCCCGTCTCTACTATAAATAGAAAGAAATTAATTGGCCAACTGATATATATATAAAAAATTAGCCGGGCATGGTGGCGCATGCCTGTAGTCCCAGCTACTCGGGAGGCTGAGGCAGAAGGATCACTCAAGCCCAGGAGTTTGAGGTTGCTGTGAGCTAGGCTGACGCCACGAAAAAAAAAAAAAAAAAAAAAAAAAAAAAAAAAAAACTCCTGTAAGCAGACACTGCCTCTGTAGTATTTCCAAGAATGGTTCGAACATAAACTAATCTAAACCAAATCATCATCCACCCTTCTAGTCCTAAGACATCTACCCAATCAATTCAACAAATACTCAGTGAGTGCCTGCATTGTGCCAGGATCTTTCCTGGGCCCCAAAAGAAACATCCAGAGAGTAAGACAGTCACTGCCCACTAAATACTTCCAATCAAGCCAGATGTATAAATAGGAACCCAAAATTTCAGTAACAGAAAAACCAGCTGCCTGTTTAATTCTATTCTCTTTGTAGCTTAAAAAAAAAAAAATACAAAATAAAACAGCACAGAAAGACCAACCCTTTTCCAAAAACACTAAGAGCATATCTTTTCATCTTTACCCAAAACCACTACCAATGACTCACTCTAAATCAGCACTTTTGTCCAAACTGCAAGTCACAACCCATTAATGGGTTAAGAAATCAACTCAGAAGGTTTCTACCAGCATTACTTTTTTTAAATGAAAAGAATAGGGCCAGGTGGCTCACACCTGTAATCTCAGTGCTTTTTAAGGCCAAGACGGGATGATTGCTTGAGATAAGAATTTAGAAACCAACCTAAGCAACACGGTGAGACCTCATCTCTATGAAAAATTTAAAAAATTTAGCCAGGCTCCTAGCTACTTGGAAGGCCGAGGTGGGAGAATTGCTTGAGCCAGGAGTTTGAGGCTACAGTGAGCTACGATGGCACCACTGCAGAGATCCTGTCTCTAATAATAAATAAATAAACACAAAAAGAACAAAATTTTTTAAATATCAGAATACATCATGAGTAGCATGGCTAAATATTGTTTTCTGAAGCTTTGAGTGTGTATGTGTTTGGCTGGTTGTAACAGAAAGTGTACTTGTTAGGGCCGGGTGTGGTGGCTCACAACTATAATCTCAATGCTTTGGAAGGCCAGGTGGGAGGATCACTTGAGCCCAGGAGTTAGAGACCAGCCTGAGCAACATGAGACCCTAACTCTACAAAAAATAAAAGCCAAATTAGCTGGTGTGGTGGTGTGTGCCTATAGTCCTAGCTGCTTAGGAGGTTGAGGCAGGAGGACTGCTTGAGCCCAGAAGTTTGAGGCTGCAGTGAGCTATGATCACATTGCTGCACTCCAAACTGGGTGACAGAGTGCGACCCTGTCTCTAAAAAAATAAATAAATAAACAATACATACATTCACCTCCTCAGTAAAACTTCCTTAACCCGGGCCAGGTCAAATCTCCTGTGATCAAATCTCCTGTGATAAACTTTTAGGATGCCTTGTACCTTTCTATTTAAATTATCAGGTTGCAATTTTGCATGTCTGATTGAGGGCCATCAACTCCACGACATTTGAGTTCTTTTGTATTAGTAGCACATATTAGACACTTAGAAAACACTTGTTTAATAAAAATATGATATTCATTTTGTAGATGAGAAACAAAGTGGAAAGATCTTACTGGAAATCACACAGAGAACAAGGCAGAACTAGGTCTGGTGCAGCCAAAGTCTCCAGCCCCCAAGCTCTGAAGTTAAGAAAAAAGTGAAGTTCCTCCGTGTGCCCGGGGAAGCGCCGGCGACGGTGCCTCTAGTGATGCTATCGCAGGGAGAAAGGCCTCCAGAAACACCAGCGTCCCACCACAGGTCCACAGGCCGAGATGCGGCCGCCGCGGCGTGGTGGGCCTAGTTTCAGGCACTCCGCGATTCTGAGCCTAAAGGAATGTGGCACCGGTCACACACACAAGGAAATCAGAGGCGGAAAAAGAGGCCAGGAGGCCGAACTCACCGTTTCGCCCTACGTTCTGGTACCGAGGTAACGCACCGGAAGCTCTTCCGCTTTGGCGCCAGACAGGAGCAACAAAGAAAGCGGTCCGGCGGAAGCTTCGGTCGCGGGAAAAATGGCTCGTGCCTGCAGGTTCCGCCTGATCAAATGTTGCCTTTTGCTAGTCTTAGTTTCTTGTTTTAGCTTCTGAATTGTGAATAACAACTTTCATTACGCTATGCATTTCATATCCCCATCCAGAAACACATCCAGCAGCCACAGTCCTTTGGTCTCGAGCAATCATGATCACTGAAGCATGGCTAAGGTCTTGGCTACCGAATAGCCAGTCAGGTTCTCAGTCATGGTCTCAGTCAGCCAATCTCTACCTGATCACAGTGTAGCCGCTTCCAGTCACACTCAGCCCTAGGGGAGAGCCTCTGAAACCCAGCCACCAGCCCAGAGAGCAAGTGGCAGCATCATCAGAGTCACCACATCAGTCCTTCCCATCATGATCACCCATTGTCCTACAGATCCAGTCTGACATCTCAGTCAGGCTACAAACACACACTGGTCTCCCTGGACCCTAGCACAAACCCAGGCACAAAGACTCAGCTCAGTACTTATATCTTACATTTAATTAATAATCACAGTCATTTGGTATTAATAAATGGTTTCTATTTGTGGGCCTGGCCTTGTGCTAGGTGGTTCTATTAGTCAGCATTCCACCAAAGAAGCAGAGCCAGTAGGAGATACATACTTAATAGTAAGTGATTATTGCAAGGAATTGGATTATGTGATCCTGAGGGCTGGCTAGGCAAGAACAAAACCCATAGGGCAGGCCACTTGGATATTGTCTCTAATCCATACAACTAACCCTAGTAAGTAGATACTAGTATTCCCAATTTATAGAAGAGACAACTGAAGGTATTGCACAAAAAGGTATTACACAGCCAGAGAGTGACAGAACTAGAATGCAAACCAAGGTCTGACTGGCTGTTCTTGTCTCTGTGCTGCTGCTCCTTAGCTTGTCTGTCACAGTTCCTTAGTGACAGCTGGACATGCCAGTCTGTCTCAGTCAAAATGCATCTCTTAGTGGGTTGCAGACTAGACTGGGCCCTGTAGTCATGGTTAATCACAATGAGCTGCTGCAGGATTAAACAGAGACAGCCTCCATCAGTCACAGTCATGCTTATCACTTTCAGCCTGTCCTGTCAGTTTCATTTCCTGCATGAAGAAGCTCAGCTGCCTCCTCAGCCCTCTCCACTCCCAGTCTTAGATGCTGAGCTCTGTGGTCTGGTCTCATAACTCCTTCTTCCAGGTGGGCTCACCATCTTCTCAGAGACTCTAGGGCACTGAACGCTGGACATGGAAGTTGTAAATGTGGCCTGGAAATTCTACCTTGTGGCTTGCATGTTCATCCAGATCAGAATTCCTCAACCTTGGCACTACTAACATCTATTGACATTGAGGGCCAGATAATTTTTTGTTGTAGGAGGCTGTCCTGTGCACTGTAGGATGTTTAACAGTGTCCCTGGCCTCTACCCACTAGATGCCAGTAGCATCCCCCCCAGTGTGACAACCAAAAATGTCTCTAGACATTGCTAAATGTTCTAAGGGGCAAGGGGGAGCAAAATCGTCTACCCCCACCCCATTGAAAAACACTGATCTAGGTGAACCTCCCCTATATTATTCCTAAGAACCAGAGAGGCTGGCCCTGTATCTGTGGGAGACAGAAATAAAGATCAGGGTGTGTGGAGTCATGAGGAATTGTATAGGGATACAATGTTTGCAAATTAAGTCCTATTCTGGAACACCAGGGTGACAGATTGCTAAAGGAAACCTCAAGGGAAAATTCAGGGAAAGATTCACAGTGCTCCTTCCAGCAATTGCCTCTGACAATGGACAGGAATCTGGAGAAGGTTGAAGAATTACTATTCACTGCATAGCCTTTTGTATTATCTATTGAATACCTTTTCAAAGAAAAGAAATAGTATTTGAAAGTATAAGGAAATTTTCAGTATATAAGTTCTAAAAAGTATTCAGAATGATATGTACAAAATGACTTCAACTCTGAAAAAAATACATATTCGTGGAAAAAAGACCTTTTTGTGCAATTTGGGGCAATAAAGAGAGGTGGCCTGGGGTGAGTTGCTTGGTAGAATAAAGAGGAAAGTGTTAGTATGTACACCTCAGATGGTCCAAGGAATGAGTTTAGTTTTACAAAATTTTGTAAAACTAAATTTTACAATTTAGTTTTTAATTTTAAGATTTTAATATTTTTGCATAATTTTTATGAAGACCTCCTTTCTTTGGCAAGTGACGCTCGTTTTCCATTTGTGGAAGTAATTTTCCCTTTTAAATAAATTTCCTAAGTGAGTCAATTTAAAGAAAAATAAGTCAATAATGGGACAGGTGATATGAGGCTATGGGAACATATATGGAGGCTGTGGGCAAAGGCTGAAGTTAGGGATGCTGTATCCATTTTCCATTGGGCTCCTATGTAGCAGGGTTGTAGGAAGAGAGACCCCAATGCAGACACTCTTCTTTTGGGAAGAGGAGGAGTTGCTGTTCCTCCACTCAACAAGCCCCTCTTGGGTTTGGGGCCCATATCATATGCCTGCTGTACCCTCTGCCTAGAATGCTCCCACCCAAGTTCTTCTTCACCTTATTTGATCTTTCTCTTCATTAAGCTCAAAAACCAACTCCTCAGGGAGGCCCTAACTGGCAACCTCATTTAAAGCGGTCTCCTTCAGTGACCCTGCACCCCTTCCTGCTATGTATTCCCTTCCCAGTGCCAATCACCCTGTAACTGTCTTTGAACAGTCCACTAGATTGTGAGTTCCTGGAGGGCAGGGACTTTGTATTATTTGCTGTTATACCTGGAGAGCCTAACCCAAGGCCTAGACCACATTGGGAGCTCCAAATATTTGTTGAATAAACATGTTCTAAGTTGGGATGTCTCCAATCCAGTTTCTGCCCTTCCCACAACGCCAACTTGTACCAGTAGCCAAAGAGAGACCGAGGGAGAGAAAGAGACACCAAGGAAGTGTGGTTCAGCATCAAACACATTTATTTCACTTTTATTGAGTATACAAGAACAGAGAGCACACGCATACAGCACAGAGCACTGAGGTGGGGGAGCATGGGGACAAGAGAGGAGAGAGGGGCATGAGTAAAAAGGAACAGGACAGCATCGCAATTGGTTGGTAAGGTGCTTTTGAAAAAAAAAAGTATTTAGAGTGATGTTGCTCATGCAATTTCAGGCCAGTCTTGGAATGTGCTTGCAGGATTCAAAAACTGAAACAGGTCCTGGCACTTCCTGTACCCTCAGATGGAAAAGATCCAGAGAAAGCAAAATAAGAGAAAATGAAGATCTGTAGGATGGCCCAGAGTAGAAAAAGGCCCTGGAGAGCATCTGGTTTACCCTGCTCATTTTGCAAGTGGGGAAACTGAGGCCCAAAAGGGGGGATGGGACTAGCCCAATGTCACATGGTGAGTTAGGGGCTGAGCCAGGATGGTCCCTCTGGGACTATCCCCACTCTGCTACATGGCCCCCTGGGTGGAGAGGCAGCACAGAGAAGATGAGAAACATAATAATGCAAAAAGGAAAAGTAGGTTGAAGACAGACAAGACAAACATCTCTATTCTCTATAAAGAGGAGGGTGGGGAGGAAACAGTGCCCTAGATTTTAGCTTTGCAGGTCCCCTCCTCCCTGGTGGTGCTGCGTGCCTCTCTGTGGAAGGAAGGGCAGAGCATCTGTGGGGAGGAGATCTCCCCATACCCTGGTGGCCTACAAGCAAAGCCTGGTCACTTCATCCCTGCCCTAAAGCCACACACCCAGAGTCTATAGGCAGGTGCAAAACTCAGAGCAAAGATCTTCCTTCTGAGATGTGTCCGGTATGCACAGGACACCTGGTTCCTACAAAGATGAGGTGCCTGAGCTGAATCCCAAATGGCCCAGAGGGGATGGAGCCATTCCAGCTCTTGACCCAGAAAGAGTGGGAGCTCTCAAGTTGAGAAGGGCAGAAAGAAGGTTGTGTGGCTTTTTTACCAGGACTATAAAAAGAACCTGGTGCTGCACTCAGGGGCAGCTGGAGTGGGCCCACTGGCCTGCTCCATAGGGGATGTGGCTGATTCTGCCATCTGACAGCCCTGTTGAACTTCCCATTTGCCCAGATAGGCAAATGCCATTCTAGTTTCTTGCCCTGCCTCAGGTCAGCACCAGCTCAGCAGCTAAGGTGCATATTGTCACTGACAAGCAAGCCCAGGGCATGTATCTAGCCTGGGCCTCTGGGGGACATCCCTGGGCAATGTCCAACAAGTTGAAGAGAGTGGGTAGATGCTCTTGGAGGGGCCAGCCATGGTTGGAGATATAAGACTGGCTCAGGTGGCTTCCCAGGCACTGCCCTCCCCTCCCACTTTCTCCTTCAGCCTGAGAATAGTGCCTGGCACAAGTACGCACTCAATGAATATTTGTTGAATAAATTTATCAACTGCTTCAAAAGCAAGACTGGAGTAAAATGGAATTGAGAATTATAGTGCAGTGGGACATTTTCCCTCATAAAGGGACACTCGCTGAACTCAGGGAAGCAGCTTGTGGTAGGCCAGTCTGAGGAATCCCACATGTGCCAGAGGGCAACATCGCGCAGGGTCTTTTCCATGGGTTTCGATGATCTCGAGGCGATTTCTGAGACTCTGAAGACATAGGCTCAGAGCTCAGATGCTAACTGAAGGGGAGGTCTCCAAACCCAAGGTCTTATACAGAGATGGAGCTTCAAGCAACACCACCTCTCACCCTCAGCTTGTCCCAGGGCAGGTGAGACCTTTGGAAATGCAGTTTTGATCTATCAGGGTCTGTCCTATCTGTGTCCTTGGCCTCTTTGCCATGGCTACTTTGGTCCAGGAAGAATAGAATGATTCAGAATAAGGAAAGGGGTAGAGGAAAAGACTGAGCTGGGAATTTTCAGACAGCCAGGTTAAAGCCACCATCTTCTACCATGGCCAAGGGCATCACCTCCCTTTGGATATGTAGTTGGTTATTATCAACGTGGTCAGGGAAGGGCAAGACATGGAAAAAAGAAACACAGAGAAAGAGAAAGAGAGAGAGAGGACTGAAAACCAAAGCAAGCCCCCTAGGGAGGTAGGAGGACTGAGCCAGGGACCTCTACTGTGGGAATCTCAGCAGCAGAGTCCTAAGTCTGGACCCTGTGCCTGAGCTGAGACCAGGTCCTGGCTGCTACTGCCTGGGGGGAGAAGGCATCTTGGACCAGCATGTTGGGGACTACATCTGTGTTGCTTCCTTCTTGCCAACCCCCCACCTCTCCATTTGGGGTCCCCACCCCTCCCCACCAATCAACCAATTACAAACACCACACACAGTATTACTACACTGAACCTGTCAGCCTCTACTGTGAGCCAACCCACACCCAGAGTCCAGGTCTCCTTAGCCGGGCCAGTTCAGTGAGATCTAGGAACCTTGGGATACGTCAATCACAGTCAGATAATTATAATTTTAAAATGTCAGCTTCATACTTACCAGCACTGTTTATTTTAATATTTGTTTCCTGTTATATGTAATATACATAACTTAAAAGCACATCCATACAAATCTCCTACAAGCTGCACCTTCATAATGAGAAACCATAAACATACAATGTCTACTTCCCTTCCTGTGGCTTAGTTTTCTGTTCCTGCTTTCTTTTCTTTTTCTCGTTTCAAAGGAGAGTCATCTGCAGTGGCCCTCAGTGGGACCAGGACACAGAGGGGGAGAGAGAAGGGGAGGAGGGAACTGAGACAGAAAATGACAAGACATGTGAGAGTCGAGGGGGAGGGGAGGCGGAAGAAAGGAAGGTGGATTTTGCAGCCCAGTGTCAAGACCCAGAAAATAATAATCCAGTGTTCCTCCTCCTCATTTCCGAGTGGGGAATTTTTTTTCTTTCTCAGAAAATGGTTGACTGTGCATGTCTTGCTGCTGCAACTTCTCTTGCTTTGCTGCATGAGTGTTTTCCTTTGCATTCGAGTGGGCAACAGATGTTGGAGAAGAACGAATGGAAAGTTCATCCGCTAACCATAACGTGCAGAACCAGGGTGGTGCGGGACTTCTACAATCATCGTGGTCTGGCTTGCTTTTGTTATTTGGCAGGAGAGAGGGGGCTGCGAGGGATTATGGTTATTATAATTTGTTTTTTCCTGAAAAATCCCACCAATTCTTCAATTTGTCTGCAAAGGAAAAGTAGGTGTTCAGATGTTGGTTGGTGCTGTTGGCCGACTGCTCTGCCAGCCCCAGCAGCAGTGCAAGGACGCGGTGTTTCCTGTATATATAACTATATCTATATATATATCTATATATATATGCTTTTCCCTTCCCAGTCTCTCATCAGTGACAGTACGTCGCAGCTGGGACGTCGGTGTTGCGTTGGAGAATCCAGAATGAAGGCCCCTTCTTAATGGTTCTCTGGCTTGGGTTGGACCAGAAATGCCAGCATCTCTTCACAGAGGTCAGGATTCCTGGGAGCCAGAGGCATATGGGACAGGGGTTCAAAGGAAGGAGGAGGACAAGAAAAGTTAGTTACTTTTGTCTCTCTCTTTAAACATATGGCAAGAGGTTGTTGTAGCTATCCTTGACCTATGCCCTTTATTGTGGCTCAGGAAGGTAAAGAGACCTGTCCAAGGGCATACAACTAACGTGTGGCAGCTGAGAACTGAAACTGCATCTGTCTGACTTCAAAGCCCATGTGTGTTTGCTTGTTTGTTTCCAGGGAGGTGGTATCTTTTACTCTGACCTGAAATTTTGTTAAAATGTCCTTTAATGCTGAGAAGCTAAGATCATATCATTTTGCTTTCTCTGCCTATCTTTTCTCAGTTCTAAGAAATGTTTAGTCATGATTGCAGATGTTCTGTTTTTGTTTGTTTTTCCTTTCTGTTCTCTATCAGACTGCTGTGTCCTGGAGATTAAACCCCAGACAGCAGTGTTTAAATAAAGAAACTGGAGCCTGGATTCCAACTCAGGTTTGGCTCCAAAACTCAGTGTTCAAGGGCATAGGCTCTGAAATCAGACTCCCTAAGTTCAAATCTCACTTCATGGCCTCCTAGCTCTGTTTCTTAACTTCTTCCTCTTTTTTTTTTTTTTTTCAGAGATGGGGTCTTGCTATGTTGCCGAGGCTGGAGTGCAGTGACTATTCACAGGCATGGTCATAGTGCTATAGTCCTGAACTGCTGAGATCAAGAGATTCTCCCTCTTTAGTCTCCTGAGTAGCTGAGACTATAGTTGTGTGCTGCAGTGCCTGGAAAGTTTTCTAATTTCTTTAAGCCTCAGTTGCTTCCTCTCTAAAATGGGTCCTGCCTCCTACAGTTATAGGGAGGAATCAAAGAAGGGGCCCAGCATATAGTAAGTGCTAAATAAATATTGGCTGTTCTTACTATTATTACTGTTGCTATTGTTAATTTAACCACACACCATTGTGATCTCTGCCATCCTTGAGGGCAAGGGCTGTCTTTTACCTATATTTGTCTTTCTAGTGCCCAACACTGTACTTTGCACACAGTGGCCATCAAAACCATTTAATGGATGGAATATCATTCCTGCCTTTTATCACTCATACACAGGCAAATGCTAATGGAATTAGAGAAAAGGGTTCCTTTTGGCTCATTTGACAGATGGGAAAACTGAGTTGGCAGAATTAAGACTAGAACCCAAGGTTTTCGTTTGGAACAGATCAATTTTTTCTCATTTAATTAAGTTTTGGAAGATTCGAAAGCTCTAGGAAGCTGGGTGAGTGCTGCCCTCTTGCTGGCAGTGTTTGGCAGACAGGTCCTCTTGAGTGGGCCAGGGGGACAAGATAAAGCAGAAATCACATCTCTTGCCTGAGAGGTTGCAGAGAGAGAAGAGAAAAGGTTCTGTGTGAGATGGGTGGCTTTCCACACTCACAGCAAGAACTTTAGGAAGGAAGAACTTTAAGAAAGAAGGCCAAGAGCCAACTGGAGCAGGAACAGATGTTTCTGGAGGATTCAGGGAGGGAAGAGAAGATGAAGACCAGCAAGATGAACACCCTGGTGGACACAGGACCTCGTGCCCAGGCTGGTGGTGAAATTTATGGGCTGACTTTCTCAGGGCTGTCATCAACCTCTAAACATGGAAAAACCCCAGATGGACAAGGAAGCAGACTCACCTTGCTGAGCACCTCCTGTATTTGAGACACTGACCCAGTATATCACAGATGATGTTTAATTATTATAGCAGTGCCAATTTATACATGAACTCCATTTTACAGATGAAGAAACTGAGGCCCAGAGAGGTTCCTATGGGCACACAGCTACCAAGGTGTTTCTGGATCCAAAGCCTGGGTGCATCCTTTCTACTCAATTCTGCTATATCCTAACTAGGGATTTTTTTTTTCTTACAGTGGCAGGCTGCACTTTAAGTTTGCTCATCTGTTAATGAAGTGGCTGCCCTGTACATCAATGTAATTGTGCATCTGGTGTGTGGGAAGTCTTCATAAGCCCACAGACACTTCAGAAGCACCAGAGCCATCTAAACAATACCAGGTTATAATTTATTCCTCTCAGTTTATTACAGCAGAGTCCCTCCATGCAGCATTTTGTTAGCCTACTTTGAGTTAGTAGTAATAACAATCATAATGAACTTTCATTAGGCACTTATTATCTGCCAGGTACTGTGCTAACTATCATATATATGTATGATCTCTGCAACCCTGTAAGGAAGACACTATGAAAAGTCAGCGTGGTGAGAAGGTTAAGACTATGGGATGGCTTTGGAATCTAACAAATTAGGTTTGATCCTCTAACCAATCTTCATGTTTCCAGCTTCACGACTGTGAGCAAGTCACTTAACGTCTCTGAGCCTCAGTTTCCTCACTTGTAAAATAAATGAACAGATAACAGTGCTTATGTTGCGTGCATAGCCTGGTGCCTGGCACAACACAAGTCTTTCATAAATTACAACAATTGTTATTACTGTGATGATCATTGCCATTTGGCTGATGTGGAAGCACAGGCTGAGGTTAAATAACTTGCTGAAGGTCACACAGCTAATAAAGGGCAGAGCTTGAGATTCGAATCTAGATCTGAAAGGCTCCAGAGCTCTTCCTTGGGGAGCCAAGATGCTTCCTTCTATTAAGCCAATATTTTGCAAGCTCTTTAAAAAGGAGTTTTCAAATTCAGAGGTAGCTCCTACTTGGTGATAACTACTGCTAAAGTGTGTGGGCAGTAAAAGCAAGGGAGAGAAACTTCTGGCTCGCCAGGGCAACATAAACAAGGTGACCTTTACGGAATTAGGAATTATCCAGAAGAGAGAGAGATGGTGCATGGTGGTGCGTGGGGCAATGGCATGAAAGAAAGAACTAAAGAGAGATGAGGAGGAAGGAACAAGCAGCAAAGGGAGCAGTGAGGTGGGCAGATGTGAAAGACTGCATGGCGGTAGGTTAGACAGGAAGTGGAGGCTGGGACAAGAGCTCTGAATGGCCAGGGACATGGGAAGGCAGAAACCTGGGGGCCTGGCTGTGAATGCCCCAGGAAAGAGGAGGAGGCCTGAGATAGGGAATGCAGAAGAGACAAGAAACACACAGCAGACACCCCAGGAAAGCAAATAGCTGGGGAACATAACAAGAAGGGGGCTCATCCCATCTCTTCATTTTGTAAGTGAGGAAACTGAGTCTCCATGAGGGAAGAAACTAACCCATGGTCACACACCAGTCAGTGGAATGGTTGGAGAGCCAGGTCCCTGGATTCCCCGTATAGAGTTCTTTGCATCAGTGGCTCCCACACCTGGCTGCACAGAGACTCCCTAAGGACCCAGGTGTAAATAAAGATCCCCAAGCAGTGCAGATCCTGGGTTCCTGTCCAGCCTTTCTAAATCAGACTTTATGGCAAGGGCTCTCCAGCACCTGTATTTTAAACAAGCTTCCCCAGGTGACACACCTGGCTAGGCACCAGCTCAGCAAGTGACTGACACTCTACCACTTTGAGATTTAGGGGAGAAAAAGCAGGAATAATTGGACAACTAGGGGGACAGGAGTGACAATCATTTGTATGAAAGTCTGAAGAAAGAGAGAGGTAGGCTCTGTTTGTAGCTAAATTACACTTCTAGACCAGTACTGTCCAACAGAAATAGAATGTGAACCACAGATGGAAGTTAAAATTTCTTTAGATAATAGATTTTCTATATAAAATTTCCTACATTTTCTATGTGTTTCTATTTTTCTAAAGTTTCTAAGGTAAATAGGAAATTTTTAATTTCAAAATTTAAATTCTCACTACTGCACTTGACTAGTCTTAAAAAAAAAATTTAAATTCTAATTTATATTAAAACAATAAGGCCGGGCGCGGTGGCTCACGCCTGTAATCTTAGCTCTTGGGAGGCCGAGACGGGCGGATTGCTCAAGGTCAGGAGTTCAAAACCAGCCTGAGCAAGAGCAAGACCCCGTCTCTACTATAAATAGAAAGAAATTAATTGGCCAACTGATATATATACAAAAAATTAGCCGGGCATGGTGGCACATGCCTGTAGTCCCAGCTACTCGGGAGGCTGAGGCAGAAGGATCGCTCGAGCCCAGGAGATTGAGGTTGCTGTGAGCTAGGCTGACGCCACGGCACTCACTCTAGCCTGGGCAACAAAGTGAGACTCTGTCTCAAAAAAAAAAAAAAAAAACAATAAAAAGAAACGGATGAAATTACTTTTAATAATATATTTTACTTAACCCAATATATCCATTATCATTTCAACATGTAACCAATATAAAAATTATTGAGATAGTTTACATTCTTTTTTCTTTAAATATTAAATCTTTAAAATCCTGCATGCGTTTTACCCTTAAGGCATATCTCATTTCAGATTAGCCAATCTCAAGTGCTCAACAGTTCTGTGTGGCTAGTGGCTGCCATACTGGATAGCACAGAAGAACATTTCCATCACTGCAGTAAGTTCTATGGAACAACACTGGTCTAGACCAAGGATTAGCAGCCTTTCAAAACAGCAGGAAAATGTTTCAGTATTTTTTCTTCTGACAATAAGGGGGGTGGTAATCAAAGGAAGAAAAAGAAACATTATTGTATCTTTCTAGAAAACACTGGTTTCTTTCATTCAAGGAAAAGGACAAAAAGGAGACCAGTTATTTGTGAGTCTTCAAGATGGATTTTTTTTCGTTGTGGTAGAACATGTGAAATGTGTGAAATACACAAGTCTAAGTGTCAATGAGAGCTTGACAGATTTTAATACATGTATACCCCCATGTATACACCGAGCTGAAGATGTGACTGACATTCCAGCAGCCCAGAGGTTTCCTTGTGGCTCTTCCCTGCCAATACCACATCCCAGAAGTAATGCTATTCTGACTTTTCATCATTGTTGGTTAGTTTTGCCTGTTTTTGGATTTCCTAGGAATGGATCATCCAATTTGTACTTTTTGTGTACAAAAAGTTTATTTTATTCAACTCAATGTCCATGGGATTTTGTTTTATAGGTCTGATAAAATTTGGTAAATTTCCAGAGGGGCCAGAAGAGCCCCTCCCCCACTTTTGGCTGCTGAAAGCTCTATTTGCCTCGACATCATCTCATCCTATTATTCAATGAGGTATTGATGGCCCACAAGGAAGCAGGAAAATATCGGGGCCCCTGAGATTCTGGCCCCTGGAGGCCTGAGAAGTCAAGGGTTTGCAATCAGTGAAACAGACAGGATCAAGGACTGTGGTCATCATGTCCCCTTGACAGTCACATCCAGTGACTGTGATAGAGAAAGAGACTCAGGGACAGCAATGTGGCACTGGGCCTAGTGGGACTGTTTCTGCCTTCCAGTTCATAGGCAATGGCCAACAAGATCACAAGTACCTCCATCTGTCCAACCTCAATACCCACTGTCAATCCTCTCTCCATTTGCTCACCACTGCTGGATTTAATCTTCTGGATCTGAGGCCTGAAACCCCAGAGAAACCAAGGAACCAATTTTCCTTCCCTTCACCACTGACTTGTATCTGGGAGAGCTGCCTCTCTCCTTTGAGCCACAATTCAGGGAGATAAGTGGTTAAAGCTACACTAGGGCTCCTCCACTTGGGGTCTTAGATGGCAGTGAGCCTCAGAGAGTCTTGCTACTGCTTCCTCCCCTCAACCCCACAAGGCTGCTGAGCCTCAGAAGCTTTACCTGTGGCTTCTTGTCCCTCTCCTCCGGGGATGGGTCTGTTTCTCTGTATACGACAGCTTTGGTTACCAGCATATCTGGATGCTGCAGTTTGGCCTCCTTGATGGCCAAAGCCAGAGCCTGGTGGGAAGGAACACAAAGTGACAAACCATGGAATATCAAATATGGGAGAGGCTTTGGAGAACAACAAGCCCCTTAGTGCACAGCTGGGAAAACTGAGGCCTGGGGAGGGGTAAATTCAAACGGTTAAAGGGAGAGACTAGAGCTCGGGTCTTCTGGATCTTTCTAGCTCCCATTTAATGCCCCTTCCTCGAGAGGTCCTTATCTGAACAGGGTTGGCAAGAAGTGGGCACCTTCTCTGCCCATAAGGGTAGCCATCTATGGGTAACCCAATATCAGAGGGACTGGGGACTGGGTGGCGCCACTGAGAATAACATCCCCTACCCCCATACCTGGTCTTGATCAACATCTTCGTCCCCAGTAATGATGATTCGCTTCTCAATCCTTGTCTCAGAAAACCCTCCTTTCACAGTCTGTTGAGGGAGAGGGAGGTGAGGTCACTCTGGGGTCCTGCTGGGGCAGCAGCTGCAACAAGGGACCTACCCAAAGCATCTCTCAAGGGCAAGACTCAGAACTAGTGGTTACCTTCTCTCCTGACTTCCTTGGTTATTCCTTCTTCTAGTTTTGGGATGTCAAACTGCAGATCTTGTCTGGTTGCCACCACTCCCCTAGATACTCAACTACTCCATCTAGGTCCTCTGAGTCCAGCTCAAATGCTGCCTCCGCGACCCTGGCTGGCAATGCTTCTGCTTCCAGCATCACAGTTCTGGGCCTCTCTGCCTGGTGTTGCACCCTACGTGTGTACATGGCATTGCTCAGCTCACCAGGCCTGTATTTGTTCATCTCTGTGTCCCTTCTTTCCCGACTCCCTTACCCAATCTGAGGTGGTGCTGAATGCAGACTTGTTGAATGAACACATGAATGAAATGTGAATGGTGACAAAGTTCTACCTTAAATGATTCTGAACAGTAGTACAAGAGAAAACTGCATTGATGATACTTACGACCTCCACTGTTTTCTGAAGGTGTGAGGCTTGGACAAGTTTAGAAGACAAGGCAGGACCTCATTGTTTGGCAAGTTAAAGGAAGGTGGTGGCTGTGGGAAACCCCAGCTGGAGTCAAGAGTGGACAGAAAGAATAGGGGCTTCCAATTGACAGGGCCAAGAGGGACTTTGGGAAGAAGAGTTTTCTGAGCTATATGCTGTGGGGTATGTGGTATAAAATCTTCCCATAAAGCTTTCAGAGAAGTCCACATTCTCACTAATGCTTTTGCTAAGAGTGGGTTCTTTGTGGGAATGTGAAAAAGTGCTGAGCCCTGCAGAGGAGCAGGCAGGGCCCGGACAGAGTCTGTGTGCACAAAGGGCCAGTGCTGCTGACCAGGCTGCTCCTCTGATGGCTCATGAGAACCTACAACTCAACCTGGCTTAACCTGGCTCCTTCAGGCCTCCAGCCCTAGCTGGAGCCCCCTGCCTTCCTCCTAGCCACTCAGGTATCCACGGGTCATCCAGTTGACCTCCCAGCCCTTTGTCCTGATGGGCTGAATCAAGCTGATGCACCCAAGAAGGCCTCCCTCGTCTGGTCCCTCCTCTTCCCTCCCTGGCTCCACCTTCCACCCTGGTCCAGGCCTTGCCCTTAGGCCTGAGTTACTATCATTCTGTCTCCACACTTCTCCCTCTTCTTTCTCCTCTCTGCACATCCTGGTGGACCTAATCTCTCCCTTAACCTATTTTCACTGAGTCATTCCCTAATGTAAAAACCTTCATGGCTTTCTAATTTCCCTTAGATTCAGATCTTCCACAGTGAACTGTGTCCTGGTAGTTGCCTTATTTGCTCTACATTCCACTTCTTCTGTCCACAGTGCAACCAAATTTCCCTGCTACACCCCTAGATATGCTTCTCATTTCCCTCAAACAGGCCTCACTAATGGCTGCCTCCAGCAGCCCATGGCACAGAGGCCAACATAAATTTGATGCCCAATGAACAAACAAATAAGCAAACATGCAGTTTCTGCTCCCATCTTCTGCTTTGCTTAGAACATGTGCATCTGTCTTCTCCTCCCTCAGGAGTCCTACCTGGCTTCCCAAGACCCTGCTCAAACCCTATTTTTTTTCCAGGAGAGGCTTCCTGACTCTTTGGAGCCTCCTGTACATCACCCCCACTAAACCCCTCCAGCACTTAAGGTCTATAAGGCGCAAATGCCATGGTGCACATTACTTCAAAGGAGACGGTCTTGTCCCCTAGCCTGGCTGTCAATGTTGTATGGGAAGGGCCCGTCCTTAGGACAACATGTGGCACAGGACAAAGTTCACAGCATTCCAGAAACTGGTAACACTACACGTTGTCTTTGTTCCACATTACAGATTGAGAAGCCAAAGCAGAGCGACAGTAATGACCTCCTTGCCTGCGGCCCGGCTGGGGCATGGGGCACCCTGCTGCTACTCACTTTGGTAACATGGGTGGTGGTGGAGGTTGAGAGGGTTTCCGCAGTGGCGCCGTAGGTGCTGGTGAGGACATCTTTCCCGATGATCTGCAGAATACAACCACCCCCCACCCCGGGTGTCAGGTAAGGACACTGGGCTCTGCAGGGGTGGGGGTGGGGTGGGGTAAACCAAGGATACCTGGTAGGTGCCCCATGAAACTGATGTTTTGAAGTCAAGATGCTTTGAACCATAAAGAATTCAAGAATACTAGAATCTTCAGAATCCTAGACCCATAAAATTCTCAAACCCTGGAATCTAAGATTCCTAGATCCTGAGATTCCTGAGGCCCAGAACCCTAACAACACCCTAGAATTTAAGAATCCTGGAATCTTAGAAGAATGAACAGAGGGAGCCAAGGTGGAAACAGAGCCTGATCCCCCATCTTGTCATAGCCAGGAACACGCTCTCTCCAAGGCTAGACAATGAGAACACCAGACTTGGAGAATGCAAGAGCTGGAAGAGACCTCACAGTGACAGACTGGGGGGTCATGGGGCAGCCACCGACATAGCCAGGTCCAGAATCCAAGCCTCTGGACTCCTAGCCCATTGCTCTTCCTGGTCAGTAAGGAGGGCAGATGCAAAAGAGCCATCAAAGGCACCACCAAGGCGAGGGGCTGCTTTGCCCCACACTAATGCTCTGCTTGCATGTGACGGGAGGGCAGAAGGCAACTGGTGAGACTCTGGCAGGCACCAGGTAGCTCTGTGGGCATCTGAAAATGGTCCAGTTTCCTGCCTCTGAACTTAAAAGGGCACCTTCTGGGCTCAATGCTGCACTTGCTGTGGGCCATGCATGGGACCATGCCCACATTCTCAGCTTGGAGTCCCCTAGCCTGAACTGGCCTTGCCCACTTACCGGAGAAAGAGAACGGATTTCCGTGGCCACCGTCTGTGGGCCTGGGATCATGGCAGCTGCCCCCTTCCCGGACTTGAGACTGTTCTCCTGGGGAAACAATAGTGCTCAGATGGCCAGGTCTCAGGTGGGCGGGCCCCCAGGATGGCCGGAGCACATGGCCATGTAGCTCTCACAGCCACAAGGATGTGTAGCAATGGTGGAGGCAAAGAACTGAAGGCATCATTCAGTTCAGTCTCCTCTCATTCATCCCTTGCTTGCTCATTCACTCACTCACTCACACACTTGCTCACTTGCTCATTCGACAAACATTTAGAGAGAGTCTGGTGTGAGGGACACTGTGGTGAACAAGATGTGGCATTGCTCTCTGGAAGTGCTAACAAAGGAATTGAGAGATTCAGGCTCATGTGCTAGCCCTGCCAGCTTTGAGCCATGTGACTTGGGGCAGATCCACCTCTTCTCTATGGGCCTCATGTATTCATCTGTAAAAAGGGATCCCTGCCCCACTCCTACCTTATGAGGCTAATGGATAAGAAAGGGCCTTGCAAACTAACTTCTGTAGGATAAATCTAGAAGCATGAGCTGGCTATTTAGAATATAATAATAACGACTGTTTTCTGAGTACTTGCTATGTGCTAGGCCTTATGCTAAGGATGTCGCATGTGTCATCTCATTTAATCCTTATAACACCCATAGGAAATATTTGTTTTTTGGGTTTTTTTTTTTTTTGTTGTTTGTTTTGATACAGGGTCTTGGGTCTTGCTCTGTTGCCCTGGGACAGAGTGCAGAGGCATCATTGTAGCTCACTGCAACCTCACACTCCTGGGCTCCAGCGATCCTCCTGCCTCAGCCTCCCGAGTACCTGGGATTACAGACGTGTGCCATCACACCCAGCTAATTTTTTCTCTATATTTTAGTATAGATAGGGTCTCACTCTTGCTCAGGCTGGTCTCAAACTCCTAATCTCAAGCGATCATCCCTCCTTGGCCTCCAGAGTGCCAGGATTACAGGTGTGAGCCACTGAGCCTGGCCTGGAAATGTTTTTTAATATTCCTGTTTCACAGATGAGAAACTGGAGGGCAAGAGAATGTTCAGTTACTTCTTCAAATCCCCCAGCAAGTCAGTGATAGTGGTGAATTTGAACTGTAGGTGGTCAGACACCAAGTCCAGCATGCTCTTTCTGCACCACTCTGCCCTCAGAATTCTCTCTTTTTTTTTTTTTTTTGAGACAGAGTCTCACTTTGTTGCCCAGGCTAGAATGAGTGCCATGGCGTCAGCCTGGCTCACAGCAACCTCAAACTGCTGGGCTTAAGTGATGCTTCTGCCTCAGCCTCCTGAGTAGCTGGGACTACAGGGCATGCGCCACCATGCCCGGCTAATTTTTTCTATATATATATTAGTTGGCCAATTAATTTCTTTCTATTTATAGTAGAGATGGGGTCTCGCTCTTGCTCAGGTTAGTTTTGAACTCCTGAGCTCAAAGGATCCACCCGCCTCGGTCTCCCAGAGAGCTAGGATTACAGGCGTGAGCCACCGCGCCCAGTCCTACCTTGAGTTCTAACTGCTGGATCTTCCTGGAATTGCCCCCATACGTACTGCCCCACATCTGGCCAGGGGCCTAGCTGCCTGCCTTTTCTTCCCACTTTCTGTACTATCTCAGGGCTCAGCCTTGTCATCCAGGGACCAATTATGTCCATTCTGCAGCTCCTCAGTGGATTGACCTGTGCACAGCACTAGATCTAGGCCTCTACCTACCAAGGAACAGGTGAGGACAGAACCCTGCTGCCTTTCCCCAGTCTCCCCCTATGCCTGCCTCCAGCTGAGACTATCAGTGACCTGGTACCATGGCATTGCACCACAAGGCATGTTCTCAGATGCACCTGCAGTCCAGAACGTGGCCCAGCAGCAGACCTTCAAAGGGCAGCTTCCAGGCTCGATGCTTCCTTTCTCCTGGCTTAGGAAACAGCCTCTAGTCCCTTAGAATCCTAGTGTCCTTCTGGGCCATTCTCCCCTAAAGCCTCTTATTCTCTCATTGCTACCTGTTTCCCAGGGCAAAGCTATGCCTCCACCTGCACACTAAAACAGAGGCCACTACTGGGGACACAGGTCATTCAAAAGAAGGCACCATCTGCTCCTCCCTGCCTCTCCTGTATCTTTAGCCAGTCCCCTCTCCTGCCTCAAGGATGGACAATTCCTCTCTCTGGCCAAGGCAAACTCCCCACCTCACCTCCTCCACACTGAGGAGCTCCCCTTCTCACTTGCCACCATCTCTCTGGGCCACCTCAGCCACTTAAGTGCTTCTGCTGACTCACTGAGGCCCAAGTCACCTATCCCTTTACCTGTAGCCCAGATCTTTCTCAAACTATTTTTTAAAACATCTTGTAATGCACAGGATCTCAAACCTTTAAAACCAATTGTCTCCTAGACATTTTCCCCTGGAAATGCCCCAAGGACACCCCAGACTCATCTGATCTCAAATGGAATTCACTGCATCCTCTGCCTCTGACATATACTTGCCACCAAAGAGCACTTTCTTCTAGTGCTTTCTGTTTACATCAGCAGTTCTCAAACATGAGGGGCATTACCTGGGGTTGGGGGGGCTTGAGACTGCTGGGTCCCACTCCAGAATTTCTGAGTCAATAGGTCTTGAGCAGGGCCCAAGAATTTGCCTTGCTAACAGATTCCTGGGACCACACTTTGAGAACTGCTGGCTACTAGACAGCATCACCAGCCCATCTTTCCTTCTATCCCCTGAACATTCTACCAATGATCTGTACTTCCCTCCCTCCAGGCATCCCTTAACCCTCACCCCTCCTCTGCATCCACCTCCTCACATTCTAGCCCACCTCTGCCGAGGCACTGGCCTCTAAGCTAGTTCCCTGCCTTCTCTTCCTATCTCTCCCAATGACATGTCAGCCCCAGAGCTCAGGAACGCTATCCATCTTCTTCCAGAGCTAGATTCACAGTGCCTAGCACAGAACTTCACACATTGTGGGTGTTCAATAAATATATGTTAAAGGAAGGAAAGAAAGAGGAAGGTGAGAGGGTAGGGGAGGAATTTTTGCCCCAGCCCCTGCTCTACACAGGTTGCTAGAATAATCTTTCTAAAACACAGAAACATAGAGTTGATGACATCATCCCATGCCTCTACTATAAAAATGTAAGTGATTCCCCATTGTATGCAGGATGAAGCTTGAACTTGGAATGACATTCGAGGCCCTTCAAGCTCTAGCCCAGCCTTCCTTTCCAGCCTCTTCTCCCCCTGCTCCTCCTGCACCCACCTGACACCTGGCTTCCCTGACCTTGTCTATACTCCTTTACTTCCCTGCCTTGCACCTGTTCCTCCCACTGTCTAGAATGCCCTCCCCAAGACCTGTACCTTAACTTATCCTTCAAGCATAGCTCAAATGTCCCTGCCTAGGTAATGCCTTCTCTGGCTCTTCCTGGCAGAAGTGTAATCCCATAGCTACCCTTCCCGTGGTCTCTAGGATAGCATTATTACACTGCTCCATGAAGGCAGGAAAGAGATAACAACAGCTCACATCTACAGACCACTTACTATGTGCCAGGCACTGTTCTCGGTAGAGAACACAGATTCCTTCAGTTCATCCTCACATCAACCCTTGGAGTATGTGCTATTATTGCCCTCCACTCCCACCCCATTTTACAGAAGTAGAAACTGAGGCTTGGAGAGGTTCAGGTAACTTGCCCAAGGTCATCCAGCTAGGAAGTGGGAGAGCTGGGCCTTGTTCACCACTGTGTTCCCAGGACCTAAATACAGGGGTGCTGCACATGAACGCTGTTCACAATGTTTATTTGAATGAATGAATCAATCCTAGCAGGAAGTATATTTTCTTCAACTCTGTATCCCCATACCAGGCAGACAGTAGAGACTAATAAATGTTCTTGGAACAAATGGGTGGATAGATGGATGAATGGATGAGTAAATGAATGGTGTAATTGCCTGCTCATCCGAAGGATGAATTTAAATTAGCCCTACAAGCATCCCAATGACACGAGGTGAAGGGTTGAGGGAGAGGAGGACCTGAGTGACCAGGGAAAAGTGTGCAAGCTGGTGACTGATTTGGGTTTACTGATCTTAAACTCTGTTTATTCAAAACCTACCTGCTGGGTAATCTAAATGAATGAAACCCCCTTCCTATGTGTATGTCAGGGGGTTGGCAAGAGAAAGCATTTGAAAACAATTTCTCAACAGCTCAAGAGAGATCTGGCTCAGGCATTGCTACCTTCTCTAGCCCCAGCCCAGGCGGCCGACATACTTTGTGGAAGGATAAGGAAACAGAGCAGAGTGGCTGGGGTTGACAGTGGGGCTTCTGGTGTCAGAATGTCTGAGGTTAACCTGGCACTACCACTTATTGATTGTGTGACCTTGGGTAAATCACTTTACCCCTCTGAACTTCAGTTTCCTCATCTGTAAAGGATATAGAAGAAAGAACATCTGCCTCACAGTCTCTGTGGAGATCCAATGAGACAATCCATTCAAAATTCTCAGCACATTGCCTAGAACCATAACCTGCATGCCTAATGCTATCTGTTCTCTTTCATTATTAAAGGATTTAGTGTCATTAGAGTCTCTGAAAAACTGAAGAATGGAGATTATTGCCATTTTACAGATCGGGACACCTGGGGCCAAGGACCATCCTTCATGGGTCAGACAGCAAATAGGTAGCAGAATCACAAGGTCCCTCAGGAGGTGGTCCAAAATCCTGAGTTCCCAACTTAGGTTCACTGCACGCCATCTACTGACCAAGACAAGGAAGTGGTCTCAGACACAAGAAAATGTACAGCCACCAGGATGGGTCCACAGAACTCTCAGGCACATCTTCAGACTGGAGGTGAGATTTGCCAGTGGAATCTTTAATTTTTTTTTTTTTTTTTTTGGAGACAGAGTCTTACTCTGTCACCCAGGCTGGAGTGCAGTGGCACAATCACAGCTTACTGTGACCTTGAATTCCTGCCTCAACCTCCCAGGTGGCTGGGACCACAGGCGTGTGCCATCATACCCAGCTACACCAGTGGAGTCTTGATATGAAATGAGATTCATGTGTGCCAATAATCAAAGAGTACTATCCTCCCTCTATTCCTGCCATGACTGAGATGAGCCAGATAAATTAAACTCAGGAATTCCACACCCACATTATTTAGTTTGGGAAACTGAGATCTGACTGTATGTCCTGTGGCAACCAAGGTACCAGACAATAAACATTTGACTGACACACAGGGGGCAGCTGAGGATTTCCTGAAGCAGCTGGGCAAGGTTAGCTTGTTATCTGGCTGTTTTGAGGGGGCAGAGGGGCTGGTCAGAGAGGGAAGTCTCCTGGGTTTTACTTACCATGGTGGTTGATATGGTCTCCGTGGTGATGGAGGGAGTGGTTGTTATGAACTCCTTCCCCACCGAGGTACTCCCATCAACCTGCTAGCCAGAGGAGGTGTCATTAGACATAGAGAGAGCCAGATATACACCTGGACATCTGTCATCTGGGCTCGAGGCAGTCCCAGTTACAAAGTGACAGGTTATGGGAATGGGCATCACTATGGCAGTCCACATGTAGATCAAATTACAGAGGAGCCTCACAGACTCTCTGCTTCATTTCAGCTGCTTTATTTGACAAAGAAAAAATAATCCCAGATGATTGGACAAATTCTATCCAAATTTCAATGCATGTAAGCTTTGACCCAGCAATCCCTAGGAATTTACTCTTTGTATACAAACTTGAAAAGTGCGCCAAGAAGCATGAACTGCAGTACTAATCATTAACTGCACTAGACAAAAACAACCACAGATCCCGTCAAAGGGAAATAGCAAAATAAACTAGGATTCACCTCCCAAGTGAGACTAAAAAGAGTAAGGTAGGTCTATCTATGACAATAAGGAGTGAGCCCCCCAAAAATTATTAAGGAGACTGGACGAGGTGGCTCATGTCTGTAATCCTAGCACTCTCGGAGTCCGAGGCAGGAGGATTGCTCAAGGTCAGGAGTTTGAAACCAGCCTGAGCAAGAATGAGACCCCCGTCTTTACTAAAAATAGAAAGAAATTAATTGGGCAACTAAAATATATAGAAAAAAATTAGCTGGCCATGGTGGTGCTTGCCTGTAGTCCCATCTACTCGGTAGGCTGAGGCAGAAGGATCACTTGAGCCCAGGAGTTTGAGGTTGCTGTGAGCTAGGCTGACACCACAGCACTCTAGCCCAGGCAACAGAGTATGACTCTGTTTAAAAAAAAAATTAGGAAAAAAGGTAAGATACAAAAGACAATGCTTGCTTTTATGTAAAATTTTTACATATATAGAGATGTAGGTATCTGTGTTGGAATATGCATAAATTTTTTTCTGGGAGGTATCCTAAGAAAGATTTCATTTAGTTCTGTTTGAATTTTATAACTGTGAACATTTTGTTGTTGTTGTTTGTTTTGATGTCATTAAGGGTTACTGGGCTGTGAGGTTTGGGACCATTTATAGTTTCTTTATACTTTTCTGTGTGAAAACAAAACAAAACACATGTTACTAAAACAAAACAGGCCAGAGGAGGAAAGCAGCTTGCCCAAGGTCACACAGTTCATCAGAACTCAAGAGGTTGACCTGTAGCAGGCAGCCTCCTAAACTCTAGCATCATTACCAAAGTGGGAGAAAAATTTCTGGAAACAAAAGAGTTGTCCACGTTATGGTGGCTTATGTCTTATGTCAGTTCTTGAAACAAAGACTCATCTGAGGTTAAAAAAAAATGCCTCCAGAATTGTAGCTTTTCTTGCCAGGAAAAACCAAGAGGGCATCTATCAGACTCACAGTCTTAATTTTCAAAGTTTAAAAACCACAAAAGGAACATAGGGAGTGCACTATAAGGAATGCAACTGTGTGTATTCATGACAGCTTTCTCCAGGGTGCTAAGCATGCTTCATCTTGCTAAGACAAATGGTTTTTGTTGTTTTTTTTTCACTTTATTTTACCAATCTCATGTGGAACCCCCATGCATAAAAAATGACCCAAGGTGAGCTGTTCTGACTAAGGCTGGATTGGGGTCTCTCCCCGCTCTCTCCCCAAGCAGCATACATCAAGAAACCTTTCCAACTCCTTAAAGCAACCTGAAAACCAAGGTCCTAACCCACTAGCCACTAGTCCTCCCACTTCTCCCAAGAAGAAGGGGGAGACAGAATCATTCCCATTTTACAGATGCAAAAATTGAGACTTTAAGAGGTATGATCTTCCCAGGACAAGAACCTGCTCCATCCCCCGACCCTCAAAGCTCAGGGAGACACTGAAGTTCAGAAGAACATCAGGATTAAAATGGGGGTTCTGGGAAAGCAGAGGTGGGAAGGGTTGGCCAAGGGGCTTGGACACAGCAGTGGGGATCCCCACCCCTAAATGCCCAATACCCATGCTCAGGGTACATTGGAAGGCACAGGTTACCTGTGTGCTGTCCACAGTGGTGACCCTGGTCTGCAGTACAGCCTCTGGCTCAATCTTCTTTCTGATGGCCAGACTGCTGACAGTCATGGTTTCTGTTTTCACAGGCTGTAGGGAGAGGGAGAATGCTCCGTAACTCAAGCTCTAGCATGAATCCTGCTCACAGGCAGCTGTGGTGTAGGGTCAGAGGTGATCTCCTACCCCTACAGCTGGCCAAGTCTCTGGAAGGATATGCAGGTCAGTACTATACAATCTCATGGTGGCTATATACTGGTTTTTTAGGCTACCATTAGAAGAACATTTACTATTCCATTAATGTACTCTATGCCAGGCCCCACACTGAGTGTCTTCCTTATATACATAATGTGGCTGAATTCTGGACAACTCCAGTGACCTTCCGGCTGCTTCAGCTGAACTCTTTTAGAACAGGAGCCACAGGTGCTTGGAGGCTTACAGGGGGCCAGGCAGGAGATGTAAATGAGTGAGGCGGGCTCCTTGAGCACTGGGTGAAGTGGAGAGCATGTGATCCCACTCAGGTTTGGCCAGCTGTGACCATGGCCTCTGAGTGACTATCTGAATTTTTAAATGGTATAAGAAAATCCTGGATTTTATATTCAATGTCCCAACTTTTAAATCAGAGTGAAAGAAAATATATCTGCTAGCCAGATTTGGCCTGGGGCATGAGTTTACACCAGGAGTCCTCCAACTACGGCCTACGGGCCACATGCGGGACGCCTAGCACATTTATCCGGCCCTCTGGGTGTTTTTGTCCTGCTTAGCAGCTGACTCATCCCGGGCCCACAGTGTGCACTCTCCAACGGTCTGAGGGACAGTGAACTGGCCCCCTGTTTAAAAAGTTTGAGGACCCCTGGTTTACATTCTCTACTCTAGAAGTCTTAAGTTAAATGATCAGCTTGAGTCCTCTACCTGGCCTAGTTCATGACTATACCTACTACAGGCATTAACATATGAGAGCTAAACACATAAGCTAGCTTGTCTGGTTGTGGGGGATGATGATGAATGAGGGGGATTCTTATAGGTGCTTAGAACCCTGTGATATAGCCATTCATTCATTTAATCATCTGTTAGTACTTGTACACACCAGGGCTAAAGGAGCTGCCACACCAGGGCTAGAGGAGCTGCCACCTGGTAGGAGTGCAGGCCTGTCTGCTGCTGACCTGACCACTCTGGATAATGTTGGAGCAGAAACATTACAGAGCAAGGGTGTATGGAGAGAAATACTTCCACCCAGGGTGGTCAGGAAACCTTTTGTTAGGGCACTGACATCTGAACTCTGTTCTGAAACATGATAGTTTTGCAAGTCTTAGAAAGAGGGAAAAACTTTCTACAGAGAGTACCACATGGAATGAGAGTCCAGAGTGGACAAGCTTGTATTGGGAGGGAGGCTGGGGCTAGAAGAGATGAGGGAGCAAAGAAATGATGGCAGAAACATGTCTTAGAAAGACCCCTTTGCAGCTTTGTAGAGGAGGGCCACAAAGCACAGAGGCCACCAGTCTGTCCCTTCTCAATGACAATATTTTCTCTTCTCGGGGAGTTCCCATTGCCACCCTGAAACCCCAGGGCCAGAAAGATTTAAACTGCTGCCTCTTCCCCAGGAAACCCAGGCCCCAGGGAGACAAGCCTGGGCCTAGATCAGGAGAAACCATTCAACTTTCAGACCAGATCACAAGAGTCCCTGAGAGTCCACAGACACATGCTCTCTGCAGGTGCCATGCAACACGGGCAAGGGGAGGAATCAAGAAAGACCAGATTGCCTGCCATCGTTTGACCTCAGCAAGCGATGGGGTCACATGGTTAAAACACCAAGGAACGCATGTTAGGGGTAAACTGACATGGCAAACATGCGAGTGCAGAACCATGCTGTTCTGCGAGGGGTAGTCATGCAACACGAGACAGAGCTCCAGGCTGCAAGCTGGCTGGCAGTCTTCTCCCAGGTGGCCCAGGGCCCCCTGAGCATGCAGTGCCCAGTGGGCTGGGGTCTCGAAGCTCCACTGTACCTCAAACTGGGGCATATCCGGGGTGGAACAGGCCCCTCGATCCGGGCTGTCCTCGATGCCCCCAGACTCATCATCTTGGCTGGGGTGCCCCTTGCTGAGATCCCGGGCGAACACCAGGCCCTCGGTTTCTGAGTCGCTTTTGTCTCGGTCAAGCTCAGGCAGGCTGCGGGAGAAGTCTTCAAAGGCGCTGCCGTGGTAGTCACCAATAACCGTGAAGTCCACCTCAGCCTCCAGGCTGGACGTGGAGCTGACCGTGATGCTGGAGCACTTGCGCTCAATGGCCAGGTGGTTGTCCTTCAGGAACACCGCGTCCCTCTCCTGGTCCTGGTCCTCATCTCCTGTGTCACTCTCTGGGGCCCGGGGACGTGGTGGTTTGACTTTCTCCTCCGAGCCCTCCCTGAGCCCTGCTCTCTATGGCCAGATAAAATCAAAGGAATAGGGATGTGGGATGGGGAAAGAGAGAGAGAGAGAGAAATCAAGATGGTGAATGTCAGAAGAAATCTAGGGGCTGTGTTGACATCCCGAATGGAAGAGCAGGTCAGGAAACAAAAACATCCCCAGGAAAGATTCCTTGAAATTATAACAAGCTTTAAAAAACCAAAACCTTCTCAAGAGTCCGCCTGATGGTCTCACACTGATGGCAAAAGCAAGTACAAAGCAAACATCCTGCCAGAGAATCCTGGACAGGAGGCTCCATCCAAGGTTTGGATCTGGGAGCCTATCAGAAGCAGCACTGTGCAAAAAGCAGGGATGGAAGCCTGGACCGCAGGCCCATCCGTGCAGGCGGGCATCGAAAAACAGAAACCCAACAGGGAGACCCGGGGATTTAGGAAAACCCAGAAGGGAAGGCACAGAGGCTAGAGCCCAGAGCTTTGAGGAACAAAGAGGAAGCCAACACGGTTTGTCAATTCCACTGAGTCTCCCTGGGAGGGATCAGCATCCAATAGAGGGAGGAACAATATGAGGTTGGGCCCCTTGAGCACCAGCTTCCTGGGAGCTGGGGACTACATCAGTTCCACCCTGAGCCCCATGAGTGGACCACGGGCAGGTCATAGAGCGGAGGCTCTGGCCCCATCAGTGTAATTGACAACAGCAGGCCAAGGCAGTGCCTGGGGGGAACCAGCAACTCTTGTCCGACATACATACCTCTCAACTGGCCTGTCAGGGATTAAACACCACACACATTTTTGGCTGGTTCATGACATTCTTTGTTAAGACCAATCTAACACCCACGGATATTTTGAAAGGACTTGGCTTCAGACTCTAGGGATTCAGTGTGCTTAGAGATTCACTTGCTGAGCAAGCCTCCATTTAGCCAGTTTCTGGAAGGTGGAGAGGTGTGAGGAATACATTCCAGACAAGCCAGAGTTGAGCAGCCACAAGAGGTGCTGCCAGAGCAGGTGGGGTCTAAGGCGGTGCTGCACCCTGGCCAGGTGGGGATGACTGGGTCATCAGGGAACAGAGGGACTGCAGAGACCTGAGGGCCTGAGGGGCTGGCGAATCTCAGGTGCCCCCCCTTTCCAGGGGTGTTCGCTGCTAAGCTGGTGAAGCGTGTCTCTCCCCTGATCGCATCTCCGGATTTGTTCTGGATTAGAGAAGATAGTTAGTCTTAAGGAGGCAGAAAGAAACGTGGCACTGGGACTGAGAGGGAATCAGAAGTGAAGGATAGAAAACTCTGCACTGTCAGCTTCCCCAAGGCAGGAGAACCAGGGACGGGAAAGGATGAAGAAAGATTGTTGGACAAGCCAAGCAAGATAGGTAGGAACCCAGCAGGTAAGAGCAGCAAGGCAAAGCACATGTGTAATTTGCTGGTGGTGGTGCCACCTTCTCTATGGGGAATGTGTGACTCCCTGGTCACCAGGTCACACCAAAAGCTGAGGGTCTTTGTGGCCAAGCTAACATGGGCCAAGCAGATGAACCCATCATTCAGCCTGAACTACACCCAGGCCCATTTGGGGAAAAGTACTCATAGGGATGGGTAAGCAGCCTCTGATTGCAGTAATGATGAGGGGCGACTGAAACATGCTTCTAAGACTACGTAGCATGCGGCCAGCCCCCACGGGCAGCAGGCAGCAGTGGGGGCGGGGGCTCACGTGGCCAGTTACCCCAGTAGTTTCCTCCAGCGTGGTTTCACAGCCTGAATCGGGGGACATGAGTTCTAGTTCTGTGCGTCCTTCCTGGTGGGATGCAGTGGAACCGCCCTCCCCGAAGTGTCTGGTAGCCAGAGGCATCATTGGGGAATGTGTAGCTTTGGGGCTGGTAAAGTCCCCTGGGGGCTGGAGTTGAACAAAGCCCAAGTCTAAAAGCTTATTTCGCTGTTGCTCTACCTGTCCCGTGGGGGCCTCTGAAGACACCTCATTTAGAAGGGCTCTTGTTTCACCCTGACTCGCTCGGTGAGTTTCAGCTCCATGGGTCTCAAATATCCGGATTTTATTGGCCACTGAGGTCTTGCTAATATCTTCCAGGGAGCCCTCTTGGCCACCAGCCTGGAAAGAGGTCATCTTTTGTTTCCCCGAAGTGAGCACCAACCCCAGGGGTATGGCCCCCTCAGCATCTTCAGGGATAACTCTGGGCTTTCTGCTGGTGACAGGAGGTGCCCTGCGCTCACCTCCTGTATCAAAAGGCACAACCAACCCTACTTGGTCCTTGGGCTCTGGACTCTCTTTAGAAGGATGGATATGTTTGAGGAATACAGGGGACTGTTCTCCAAAGGGATCCTTGAGCTCCGAAGGCTTCCCTGACCCATGAGGGGCTAGGCTTGGAGAAGCTTCCTCCAGAGCTTCCAAAGCCTCCAAGTGATCAGGGGAGGCTGGCAGAGGGATGATCACCTCCATGTGAAGAAATGCTGAGGCCTCACGGTCCTCCATCTCAGGTCTTCCTGTCTGGGTGTGAACTGCTCCCCTCTCTTTGAATAGGAAGTTGCCTCTGTCCAGTTTGCCTGGCTTCCTGACATTCGGAGGGATGGCCCATGGAAGGGCGCACACCTGGGTGTCTGGATGCACATCCCCTCTTCCATGAGACGAGTGGTTCTTCAATCGTGCTGGGGGACTTTTCTCAGCTTTTCCTGACAAATCTCCACTCACAAGGCCCTCTAACTCTTTAGCTGCACTGGCTGTTGGGTGGGTAAACTCTCCTTTTGTCCCCCACTGGGCTTCTTCCCATTCCTCAGTAAATGTCTGCTCTGGAGAGGGTCCCTTCAGATCAGCTGGTCTTCCATGGTTCTTGAACAGCTCTGCTTCTTCCTCTGAGGAAGCTGTGTGGGCTTCATCCTTGTTCCTGCTGGAATCTGCGGCAGAACTCCCCAGGTCTGAGGAATTCAGCTCCAGTCTGGTCTCATCTCCAAAAGGGGCATCCAGGTGCTCTTCTCTCTCCTCCAGGGATGGAGGGGGAGCATGGTCTTCTGAGTTCTCTCCATAGTTTAAATAGAAGCTCCTCTCTGCAAAGGAGGTATCGGTTTCATCACTTGAGTCGGCTCTGGCTTCCATGTGGGCTGGATCCAATAGAAACGACTGCAGTCCTCCCTTGTCTGAGGCTGGAGAGGAGACATCTACCTCTGCTGGCCTAGTCCCTGGGGCAGTGGGTCTCCCACAGGTCTGGAGCTCTTCCAGCCCCTTCCTCAGCTCTGTTTGGCCCTCCAGCTGACTGTCTGAGATGCAGTGGTTCCTGATGGTGGCCTTCCTGGTATCTGCCCCAAGCTCAGACCCTTCCAGGAGCTTTTTTGCCAATGTGCAGCCTGCAGCTGGGGCAGCCCCTCCAGGCCCTTCCTTGACCCAGAGGCCTTCCTCCCACACTGACTCAAAGTCTTCAGGACTTGCGATCATTCTCCCTCGCTGCTGTGTGTTTGCTCTTCTGGTTCCCACCATTTCTTCTGTCGCTACTTCAACTTTGAATTTGTCCACCAGAACATCTACCTTGGAGAGTCTGCCATCAGCAAGGATATCAGCAAGGCCTGCCTCACTTTCTTCCTGCTGCGTGGTAGCCACTCTTAGGAGACAGAGTTCTTCTGGCCTAGTGTACTTTCTTTCTATAAATACCCAATGCTCTGAACCCTGTGTTTCAATTGGAGCAAGAAGAGTTAACATGAAATATCAGGCACCAGAAGAGTGGGTCACTTTTTCCAGGGACCAATCTACCACTGAAAGGTTGGACTCTGGGGCAGCACGTCCCCAGAACTGGCTGGTGAGAGGAAGGCATGACAATGCCAGCCATTCACATCAAGGCTAGTCTCCCCAGAGGCTCTCCTCAACCACTGCCCCCAACACAATAAAATGGAATGGGGTCTCATGCCCTCCCCATGTTAACTATGGGGAAATGGAGATCCATGGATGGGCCAGGACTCTTCCTCTTCCTCTTTTAACGATATATTAATAACTGTCACTGTCAGAGGAAAAAGTAGCTTGTATCACATGTCATCTTTGAATGTTAGAGCCAAAAGAACTCTTAAGACATTATCCAGTCTAATCTCCTGATTATGTAAATGGGGAAACTGAGGCCTAGAGAAGGTCAGTGACTTGCCCAGGGTCACAGTTAGTTGACCGTTGAGTTAAGAAAAGAATGCCTGATTTTTGAGGCCTGAAATCTTTTTGGTGACTTATTTCACACCTTAGAATATGGGTGCCAACTGTGATCAAGTTGAAGGGAAGCATGGAGTTCCACAGGCCACAGCCTGAAATCTGACCTTCTGATCTTTCTACAAGAGCTTCTGGGAAGAAAACAGACTAGTAGCAAAGATATCAAATGGCTAGGTTAGTGCCAGTCACCAAAATGGCTTAAACAGCTTGAACATTGTGGAATTCAGTTCAAAAGAAACAAATTATCAACGTCCATCCCTTGATATAGAAAGAGTAGAAAAGGACTGATCAGGACGCAGCAAGGAAGGGAAAGATCTAAGGATCCAGGCATCATCATGAATCAAAGGCACCAGAGTGCCACACAGTTAAACTATCAATGAAACGGCCCTCTAGCTCCCCCAAGAGTTCTCCAACAATGTATGGGAGGGTGTGACAGACTTCCAGAATCATTAAGAAAAGCAGGAAGGTCATTGGGTTTTTTAATCCTCTTGGGGCCACAGAATATTTTCTTTTCACAAAATGTTAACGGAAGTATAGTATGGGACACAAATACAGAGCTTCCTGGTGAAGCTGGGAGCATGGGCTGTCCTCATGGGAAATCCTTGCTCTGACTAGAGCCCTCATGATACAAATATGGAAATTGAGGCCTAGAGAAGGCAAGCACCTTGCCCAACACAGTAAGCTGTTGGCAAAGGCAGCCTAGAATGCAGTCTCCGACTCCAGGTTCTGTGAAGTGTGCCCTTTCCACTCTACTCTGACCACCCCACATAAGATATGCTCAAAACTGCTCCTGGCAACAGGAGGGGGAAGGTTTGTAGGACTTTGGGCTCCTTTTCAGGTTTTGACGTAGTGAGGAATCTGTCAATCCCAATCCACTGGGAGGAGTCTATCAGAACTTCTCAGACCTGAAGAATGTTGAAGGACCAAGAGAGAACTGTAAAACCTCTTTTCCCCCACACCACTTAGCAAAATCTCCTTGATTGTCAGGAAGGGAATCAGACCTCACTAAGCGAATCTTGCCAATGGGAAAGAGATCAAAGGGATGGGAAGGTCCAGGCAATGTTTGGGGTGGGTTTCCGAGCTTTTACTTCAGGTTGTTGGACCATCCCAGAATGAAGTGCTTCCAGAGCCTACAGAAGCCAGGTCTCTTTTCTCATCTCCTTGGCAAGCAGGTTCCTTTAGCTTCTTCCATTTCAGCTTGTACTGACATCATCAGCATAGAAATAATGGCCAAAGCTGGTCAATGAGGCCCCTCTGGTACATTCCTGCCCCAATTCTAACTAGCAACCACACTAGATAAGTAAGAGGGAGTGGGGCGGGAGCTGGCACAGAACGAAAAGAAAGATTCTGCAGGAAGAAAAAGAGAAACATGTAGTAATGTTTAGTTACTATGTGCCAGGCAATGCAGCCCTTTGGCTAAATTATTAAATTTAATCCAAATGGCAACCTGCGAAGCAGGCATTGTTATTTTTATTTCAGAAGGGGAAACGGAGGATCTCAGAGGTGGGGGGACTTACATAAGACCACAGAGTGAGTTGTGGGGAAAGAAGAAAGGGTTCTGTTCCTAACAAGTAAAATGCAGGTATACAGGATCCTAAAATGGAAAAGGAGACTGAACAAAAAAGAAAGAAAAACTCCCCAGGCACCAAAGCACTGGTGGAGTCACACCTGGCCCTGGGGATTGGTCTGAAAGTCAGTCTAACATGATTCAATAGAGGGGATAATGTTAGAGTAGTCCCAGATTGCGGCAGTCCTGCAGCCCCTTTCCCTAGAGCTAGGGGACCTTCAGCGCCTTGCTCAGAGTGCCCCCTGCTGCCAGTGGGGGGCACTGCAGCAAGGGAAGCTATGCAACAGAAGCGGGGAGAAGTAGAGCCAGTGGCTCCCACACAAGCCACAGATGAGAAGAAACTCTCCAACCAGGCAGTACTGCTGACTCTAGGATGTTCAGGCCCCACCTGGAACTCTGGGCCACATTTTAGGCCCCATCCTTTACAGGAGGAGGGGACTTAGAGCAAGGAGCCCTCTAGAAAGCATGTCGGGGAGAAACTACAGAGTGAAGATTTTCAAGGGGAAGGGAGGTATTTAGCTCTGTGGCCTGGAGGAGGATGCAGAGTGGATCTATGGATGCCACAGGGCAGAACAAGGCCCACAGCTGATTTAGAAGGGCAGGTTTTAATTCAACATGAAAACCCCCTAATAATTGAGGACAAAATGGGCTGCCATCAAAGACAGTGAGAGCCCCTGCTATGGAAGAGGTAGATGGACAGTTTGCAGGGATAATGGTGAAGGGTGCATGCTGGGAGATCTGCTCCCAGTATGAGTACCTGTCCTTGGTTCTAGGAGCATCTCTGTGCTCCAGGGCATCACTAAGTCCCTAACCTTGGGATGCTGTTGACTCCCGTCTGACTTTCCTCCAGAGAGAGGGGAAAGTTTTGTTTTACATTAAGGAAAAAGTCATAGAATAGAAGTATGATTTATGTTTTACCACTTATTTAGCTCACTCATGTCTTTCTCGAAGTTCTAGCACATTTGCAGCAGCTACAAAAGTTTTCTCTGAGAACTGAGAAGGGTATATGCTCTCACACACATAATGCCAACAGAGGAGAGTCAGGTTTCAGGGAGAAAGAAGTTTTGCCCAGATGATTGGTCAATACCTTCCAACTCTGACAGTCTATGAAATCCCAGCAGGAAGGTGGGTGCAGCCTCCTGCTGCCTGTGCCTGGATCCCATGTCCAGCATCCACAGGACATTCCAAGAGCCCCCGACCTGCCACTATCCTGAGCATAGATGCACAGATGCTTTCCTCATTTAGAAAGTCTGCCTGACCAATATCTCTACAACTCCAAGGATACTCCTTAGAGAAAGATGTCTACTTTTGCCTCCCTGGAGACCCTGATAGACTCAAGCTCCAGGAAGGTTTAGAGAGGATGGAAGTAGGGGATGGATGAAATGCTGCTGGACCTTATACAGGCTTCTGAACAGAGACAAGGCAGAAGGTATTTGGGTACCATCACCCTGATCCCAGGCTTAGAAGTCAGAGCCTGACTCTAGAGTCACCCGCCTCACCAAGGCCTGCGAAATGGAGATCATTTCTGCCTCCCCTTCAAAGCCACAGATGATTCGGGCTGTTCTGTCTTCCCACAATGGCTGCGGTCCTGTCCATCCTGAGAATAATGGATGAGGGAGGGGCTGGCCCTTTATGGATCCCTGGGATGTGGATGTTTGCTTGTCCCAGCATGAGGACAGCATGGGCTACCCACTGCTCCCATCTGCATGGCAGAATCTGGTCCATTCCCCTAACCCCAGAGAAAGGATTTTCTTAAGACCACAGAGGGTGGCTCTTAGAGGCCCGAGGAGGAAGGGACAGGGGAAGGTTAAGACAGTAACCTCAGGAGACGCTGCGAGGCTTTTCTGAGTGAACACTTCCAAGCCTGCGGCTGCTCCAGGCTCAGGTACCAAGTCCTGCTGAGAGGTGTCCTGGGTCCTCTGGGACTGTAGGGGAGGCCCAGGGCCAAAGGAGAGGTAAAGAGGGAGGAAGGGAAGGAGAGACAGAGACAGGAGGAGAGGGAGAGAAAGCAGGAGAAACACACACACACACACAGAGTCTGTAAATAGCCCAACTTCATAAGTCCCACATCTTAGGATTTGTGGATTAGGTCAGGAAGGAGCCTCTCGGGGGTGAGATAGAGCAGGACTGCCCTTCTGAGCCATTTAAGGGAGGGATGCCCACAGTCAGCTGCCGGCCAGTATTGTGCCTTCGGGCCCTTCCCTCATTTGAGAGTCTTTGGAGCCATATCATTCAGACTATGATTCCAAATCTTCCCTGGAAGACTTAGGCTATAGTTCAATCCTGCAGTTTGGGTCACAACTCCTTTGAAAAAGTTATCTTTGAAACTAAAACCTGGGTTTGACAAATGGGAACAGTTAAAGTTTCCACTGTTTTCCCTTGGCCCAGTTAGGGCACAGAAATATACAAGGAAGCTCCTAGGAATTCTGGCCGATGCAGGATGGCCGCAGGAGAGCCCCCACCACACCCACGTTTGGATCAGGGATTCTAGTCACCGTCAGCAATAGCCCTGTGACTGACCAGTGATTCCCAGTTGACCAAGTGCTTTTATGTTCATTATTTCATACCACCTTTCCAACAACCCTATGGAATGGAAATTTCGGTCCCCCTTTAGATGGACTAAGCAATGAGGCTCAGAAAGGTCTCAGCCAATCTTATGTATAGTACCTCCCCATCTCCCAAATCTTCAAGGGCCCCCTAAATGCCAAGGAGATCTGTAAGCCAGTTGTAAATGGTCCATCACTCCTATGTGAGCTCCTGGATCGTAATCCTTTCCAGCAGTGGACTACATTTCTTGGGGCCAAGGGGCTGGGGCGAGTGGAACAGACTCCACCTTTTAGTGAGACCCATCTTCTAGCAATTTCAGCTATCACCAGCAGGTGGGGCACACCCCAAGCCAAGCTGCTCTGAGATACTCGAGAGCTCCAGATGCCAGCTCACCAGGGCCCACTCTTCCCTTCTCTTAGGGAGTCTGACTCTTTTGGTAGCCTCTGCATCCCACCTCACTCACAGCCAGGCCAAGACCCAGCCCACACGAGGACTGATTAGAGGCCACTCTGGAGGGCTGGAGGTGGGGATGGGAGCAGTGCTGGTCACTGGATCACTAGACCACTACCAGAGAGGTCCAGTCCAGGCTCTTGATTGTGCCATAGGTGACCACATAAGCCCTTTGTATTTGCAGAGTTTTGTCCTTCTTCCATGGCACCAGCCTTAAAGGCCCCCAAAGCATTCCCTCGTTTTGTGATTCACCAGCCAGGGAGCTACCACAGTAGGTGTCCCTGAGCTTATGCCTCACTAGGCAAAGCCTTTTATCTGGCAGGCTCAGGCCATGGGTAGTTCTAATTCAATCAAATGCTCTGCTAATTAGATCATGGCTATATCACCAATTTTCAAAGCATTAGAGGACAGCACACACACAATTGACTCTATACCTGGTCTTTACATGATTTGGTCTTGCTCCTAGGCAGCTGTGATTTAATGGCAAATACAATAGACTAGGACACAAGAAAATTGGGTTCTGGACACAAGAAAATTGGGTTCTGGCTTCTGTTCTATCAGCTATGACCCTGAACAAGTCCATCCTCATTCTGGGTCTCATTGTCCCTATCTATAAAATGAAGGTTCCAAGGGTCCTTCCAACTTTTAAAGGAGATTCTGGTTCAAAATCAACCTCCTGTGTAGAAGAGTCCCAGTACTTTAAAATGAAACAATAAATAACTCACATTGAGCACTGAGGTACTCTCATCCCTCAACTTGTGTTATCTCATTTGATCCTCATAACATCCCTACGAAGTGGGTGCTTCTATTATCTCTACCTAAGGAGACTCATAGAGCGTAAGTAATAGGCCCAGAGTCATCCAGCTAGCAGGCAGCAGAGCCAGAATTCAAACCCAGGCAGTGTCAGTCTAGACCATAATTGAGTTTGAGACCAGTAAGAAGTAAGTTTTCTCTAGAGAGAAAACACCTAAGTATAAACTGGGGTAAATACGCCAAGATTTAGCAAGGACTAAAAATAATTGCTTGGGAGTTTAAATACAGCAATTCTCCAAATCCTATCTTCATTTCTTTTTCAATTGAGAAAATACCCCATGCTTTCCACTCGGAAAGGCAGGTCATGTGGGATCCTTTTCTGAAGCCTCAGAAGCAGGTCTGATATTTGTGGAGGACCCACTCCCCTCTAGTGGGCCCTGAGGACCCTTCCAGGAGGGATGCCCCTAATCTGTGTTTTCACAATATGCACAAAAGGGTCTGGTTACTGGATAGGGCTACCAGATTCTCTAAGTTTAGTATACATGAGAATCGCCTGGGGCATTTGTTAAATTGCAGATCCCAGGGCTCTAACTCCAAATATCTGATTCAGTTATTGAAACTAAAGCATCCCTTCCCCATTATACTCTGGTTAATGGAAGGGGAGTACACCAAGCTACTATGAGTCTTGAGTTTTACATGCTTCAAGGTGGTTCCTGCGACCCAGGATTCCAAAATTTAGTGAATTTGTCTCCCTCAGCCTAATCCATCACCCTATCTATCCCCACCAGCCCCCAAGCAGCAATGGGGGGGAAGTGTATTGGTGTGGAGGATGAGTGTGAGTTAGTATACAGCAACCACCCAAGTACATCTTTTCCCAAGGCCCTTATTCAGGGTGAGACCTACCTCATTGGCTTTCTCAGGGGTGCCCTTGGGGGATGGGGAGGCGGGTGAGGAGGGCAGCCTACGCTCCCGCTCCCAGTCTCGATCCCGGTGGATGAGTTTGCTGTTGGGTTCTTTCAGGGTCCTCTTGAGCTCATTGATGCTGGCCTGGTGCTTCAGCAAGACGTCCTCTGGCTTGTCTAAGAACTAGGGATGATGGAAAGGACAGCAGTGTTAGGGAAAAAGCTCTGCATGGGGGGGTACAGGGTGCAGGGATGATGGCAACAATGTCACCACTCTCCACCAGCAATGTCCCTGTCTCAATCTCCCAGCAGCCCCACAAGCCAAGCAGGGTGAGGATGATCAACTCCAACAGGCGCACATACTGAGGCACAGAGCACTTAAGAGAGGAGACTTCTAGTCAAGCCACTTTTTCTTCTCCCCTGCCTGGCTCCCCAGACTCTGAACACTCAATGCCCCCAAATCCCACAGGTCTGGGAAAATTCGCTTTGGTGCTGCGAGCCCAGTCTTAGTGATGGAGGTGACTTCCCTCTGGTTACAACCAAGGCATAGCAGGCAGCATCTGTCGAGTGAGAACTCACTAACCCTGTTCACTGGGCTGCTCTGGCTCACTTGCTGGCCTTCTGGATTCTTCCTGGATCCTGGTGCCTACCTTCTGGCTGAGACACAGACCTCAGTCTAGGCCCCTCCTAGCCTAACATGCACAACTGCTCAGGCTCTGTGAAGGCCTAGAGTACAGATCCTCCTCAAGCTCAGGGACATCCAGAAAAATGGGCCATGTTCCCACGCTAGGGACAGGGGCCAGGAAAAGCTTGTGTCCAGCCTTCTCTGCTGTGAGCCACCAGCTTCCCCAACCACCCTAGATCTTCCAGATACCTTTTGGGTATTGACTCACCAACAACAGACAGGGTAAGCTACAGCCAGATAGAGAAACTAGGACACTGTAGGGTTTTCAGGAAGATTAGGAGAATTAGAGACCAAGAAGAAGAGAGGTAAGCCCCAAGGCTGGGCACAAGAATTGAGCCAGGAATAGCTGGAGTCATAGGTGTCCCTCCACCCATTAAACCCGTAAGTCTGAGCTCTAGCCACTGCGGTATGAGAGAGTAATCTTCCTAGCTGAAGTGTGGATGAGCCTTTGTATAGGAGCTGGCTGTGATTTGCCAAAGCTCTTTATCTGCCTGCATCTGGGGCAGAGCGGATAGGTTGGCAGCCCAAGGACCCTTATTTGTAAGGCTGTTTGAGGATTCATGTTAATTTAATTTAGGATAAGAAATGGATAATCTCAGCTTATTAAAGTCACATGAGGTGATTCTTTCTGGAAGAACCACTGGAAGGTAAGCTTACCCTTAGACAACATGTGCATCTTCTGTTGGGCTCATCTCTGCTATCCAAGGATCCACTGTGATTGGCTCCTAAGCTACCTTGGGAAAGAAGCCGATACCACTGGGGCTCCTGCTTTCCCTCTAGATACCTGTCTGTACCTCAGGCATCCCATTCCAAGCTGAGCTGCACTCGGGACAATGTCTGCCTCTGTCTGAGAACGCAAAACTGATGGACTTTGCACAGGGAGTAAGTTTGGGCTGCAATGGGTAGTGAGGCCCAACTTGAGATGTGGCTTGTCATCTTCCATCCCAAACCTGTCCCGCTGGCTCTGCAGGCATGTTGTGCTCCTGAAGGCTACAGGGAGCAGCGGGACCCTGAGATCCTTGAAGGTTAAGGGCCTTGAAGAAACCTAGTCTGAATGCCTTGCTGTGCAGATGGGGAACTGGAGCCTGAGGGGACTGTCCCAAGATCTGCAAAAAGTCAGTGGCAGAACTGGGATTGAAACCTAGATCTCAGGACTCTAAGGCCAGGCTCTTCTTAGGTCCTGGCCTCTGGCCCTTTCTCTCAGCAGCCCAAGGACCCAAGGATAAACCTACTTCTCTTGCAGTTAAGGCTCAGTTGAAGAGTTGGAGACTGGGTGAGAGGGAAGGAGAAGGGGTTAACATAGGAGGACTAAATTGAAGCAACAAATAGGAAGAGGAAGAGGAAAAGGAGGAGAGGTTCTTGGCAGAGATGGAGCAGCAGCAGACCTCACCAGGGAGAAGGTGGAACTGGAGTCTGGGCAGACGTGCTCTGAGGATCCTCCCTCCACACCCCAAGTCCCCCCTCCCACATCTGATTGCCAATACAAGATGAAGTTTGGGTGAGAACACAGGGGACACAGATGAGATGGACCAAACAGTGCTGTGGGGCAGGAGATGAGTCTAAGGAAGGGGTGGGGTGGAAGACAGGCAGAATGAGCTAAATGAAAGCACAGGATGACCTGGAAGGGCTGGTGGACAAAGGTGGGGTGGCTAGCAGGTGAGCAGCAGGCATAGAGGATCAGGTGGTCTGGAGAGGTGGAGCATGAAGCTGGGAGGAGAGTGGGAGGGGTAAGAAGGGAGGAGAGATGGCTGGTTTGGGGGAGAGTCTGAGCAGGAAGCTGGAGACATGAGTTTAACAAGGCTGCGGGAGAGCAAGGGTGACTGGGGAGGGGAATGGCCAGGGAGCAAAGATGAAGCTGAGATGGTGCCACGATGTGCGCTTGAGATGGTGACAAATGAGCTGGGGATGTGAATGGCTAGGTAGGGAGGGACAGGTCCCATGCAGTACCTCCTGCTTGTGTCTCGGCGTGGTTTCCTGCTCCGGCTAGCGGGAGGTGGTAGGAGGGAAAGGATCCAGCAGGGTCAGTAGAGCAAATGGAATAGAGATACCTCGATGGGCTTGGTCCAACAAGGAGCCCAGAGCACTCACACTTGGCCAAGCAGTGGAGGCCAGGGAAGCTGGGTGGGCCACCAGTAAGGCAGTGAGGTAGTCAGAAGAAGGTGCGGGGTGTGAAGCAGTGAGCTGTCCCAAGAAGGCAAAGAAGGGGACTAGAGGCAAAGTGGGCAGGGCCACTTTGGCAGATAGGACGAGTGAATGGGGTTTTATGCTTCTCGCTGTCAGTGGGTATGTGTTCAGGGGCCTGTGTTCACAAGGTGGAACTGCATGACAGACAAAAACATGCTTAACAACTGTGCAGAGGGCAAGCTCTCCCTGGCCTGTGTGTGCATACACCTGTGTGTGTGTGTGTGTGTGTGTGTGTATGTGCTATCTGCACGTCTGTGTGCAGGAATGTAAAGGGGAGGGGTATATATATCAGTCAGTGAGGCTGAGGTTGTGCATTCCTGCATGAGTGTGTACACACAGATACTAGAAGTGTACACATACACCTGAGTGAGGCGTGGGGCAGGGTACCTCATGCTTGTGAGGGACCCTGATGACACCTTCCTCTGGAAAGGAAGGGCGTGGTGCAGATCCAGATCACAGTCAAAGGGGCAAATCAGCAGTGGACAGGAGGAGGCCCATGTCCCCCAGGGGACAGAGGGTCCCTCTGGAAAGGCAGGGCAGAAGGAGGGGAAGAGTATAGGGCAGGCAGTGTGCCTGCCACCCATCCCCACCCCCACCCCAGGGATGTCCAGGTATTGAGCCTGGCCCAGCGCAAGGCTCTGTCCATGATGCACTCCATAGCAGGGGTGCTTGGCCACAGCTAGGGGCAGGTGAAGGCCAAGGCTGAGGCTAGATCTCGGATCAGCCTCCCGATCCCCAGGGCAGAAGGTCTGAGAAAACCAGGCTCCTACCTTCAGCTCCTTGATCTTGGTGGGGGTCCTGACCTCTCCTTCCTCAGCCTCTGACCGCCGCCCCCCAGACTCGCCATCCTCCTCCCGCTTGTCACCATCAGCCCCTGCATCGTGGTTCTCGCTGACCGAGGCTGGGCGGGAGAACTCTGCTGAAGTAGGCAGAGACAGCCAGGTGACCACGTGAGACATCTCCCCAGCACGGATGAGGAGCCAGCCCAGCCACTGCCCAACCATGCCTGGAGTAGAGCCAACTTTTCTATACCCCACTGGTTCCCAGAGGAGTGAAGTAGCCTTCCCCAGGTCATGTGGCTGGTAAGAAACAGAGCTGCCTCTCAGTCCAGGGGCCCCCTCTTGGTTTCTATAGCACTAGAGCCTGGGTTCAAATCTTAAATCCATCTCTTCTTGGCTGTGTGATCTTAGGTAAGTTACATAATCTCTCTGGGCCTTGCTTTCCTCATCTATAAGCAGTGCCTACTTCAGAAAGCTGAGGTGAGGACAAATAGCTAATGAGTGTAAATATTTAGAAAAATATTTAGAAGAGTGGCTGGCACAGAGTGTGCCTTCAATCAATATTGGCCCATAAATGTTGCTCTTTTTGTTGTGGTGGTTGTGGCAGAATACTCACTGGATCACTATTTAGCAACACACAGATGTTATGAGATTGGCTTTTACTAGTGGAAGCTGAAGTTGTAACATTTGCAAATGATTTACCTTCCTTATAAATTAGGGAAAATTCAAGGGGATCTCTTCAATAACATCTTTCTTACCCACAGGCATTCTAAAATACTTTTCTTTCTTTCTTTTTTACAGAGATAGAGTCTCACTCTGTTACCCAGGCTGGAGTAGAGTGGCATCATCATAGCTCACTGCAACCTCAATCTTCTGGGCTCACTCGATCTGCCTGTCTCAACCTCCCAAGTAACTGGGACTACTGGCATGTGCCACCACACCTGGCTAATTTTTCTATTTTTTGTAGAGACAGGGTCTCACTCTCACTCATGCTGGTCTCAAACTCCTGACCTCAAGTGATCCTTCTGCCTTGGCCTCCCAAAGTGCTAAGATTATAGGCATGATAAAACACTTTTCTGAATAGGAAAGGTAGGGGTGGAATTATAGACTGTGCACACCAGGCACTGGACATAACCTGACTATGCCCATGGACTGTGTCTTGGTGGAAAATAGGCTAGAAGACACTGAATTAAAATAACCAGAGCACAGATTATCCTTGGAGTTGGCCTAGATTTTAAAAAAAGAGTAATTATCCTTTCTATTCATATATATTCACTTTGCAAAGTACTCATTTATGCACATATTTCATTTGATTTGCATAATACTCTGTGTTGGTAGCTAGAATGGGAATTATAACCCCCATTTCACGGAGGATAAATTGGGATCTCAAGAGGGGGAAAGGTCCCACTGGTGACCTTTTGGTGAGTCAGGACAAGGACCCAGACCTCCTGGCTTTGAGTCTAGGTTTCTGTTCCTCCCATAATGAGCTTCACCAGCTCTGAGCTAACCTCTGCGGCCTGCCAAAATCTGGCCTTCATTTGCTTCCTGGCATAGAAATGGAAGCTACTGAAGAGAACCAGAAGACAGTACAAATCCTCCTTTCCCTTTGCATAAACCTTCAGTTCTTAGCCCTGTGTCTATACAAGGAGAATAAGAAGCTTCCTTTGCCTCAGACCCCTGCAGAACTATATATCCCTCAAACATAGAAATTCTGAGACAGGTCTCAATTTCATACCCTAGAAAAAGCATCAGACTCTCTTGAGCATCTGGCAAACTCCTAGTAGCCTTCAAAAACCTGCCCAGGTGTCACCCTTTCCACAAAGCCCTTTCTGCTCGTCCCAGATAGAATGAACTCCTCCTTCCTCAAGGCTACTCTGCATTCTGTACCTGCTTCTCCCCTTGCTTAAACCACATTAAATGCTTTGAAACTTACTATTCTCTGAGCTCCTTAAAGGAAAGGGCTGTATTTACTCACTCTAAATATTATACTTGGATAAATACTATACGTAACACAAGGCCTGGCACGCGTATAACACTCAGAAAATATATGTTGAATGGAACTAACTTCCCTGGAGGCCTGCCCCGCTATGTTCTGGGAGTATTCACTGTTCTCCCACCCAAGTCCCTATTTCCCACCTTTAACCTACCCTCTACAAACCTAAAAGCAATAATGATAGGTACCATTTATGAAGGTCCTACTATATGCCATGAATAGTTCTATGTGTTTTTTAGGCATTATTAATTCTCGCTATAACACAGCAAAGCAGTAGTATTTATTTTGCATAAGAGGAAATAGGCTGGAGGGGTTAAATAAGTTGTTCAAGGTCACCCATCCATTCATTCAGATATTTATGGACTACTTCTTGTGTCCATGGAGCAGCTGGTAAGTGTCAAGGTCAAGATTTGAACTCTGGCCTGCCAAACTCTGAATGCCCTCATTGCCCCATGTGGCTTCTGAACATCACCTGCACACTCTAGTGTGTACATCCTGGGGAGAGACTTGGGCCCTGGGAGTGCTGACTTAGTAGGTCTGGGGCAGGGCCTGGCAATCTTCATGTTTAACAATCTCACAGGTGATTCTGATGCAGACATGGTCTCTGGACCACACTTTGAGAAGCCCTGGTCTTCTTGACATAGGACGATGTCCGGTTAGTTCTCATTGATGTTAAGGGCACCCATTGGTCCAACAGAAATGGGGACAGTGGAAAGCACCATATGGATAGCTTGTCAATTAGCCCAGAGCTCAGTGGAACAAAAAGAATGAACAGGAACAACGTTTCAGCCTCCAGGCAGATAATGTATTACCAGCTCCGAAATGTAATCACAAGCACCATTCTCCTGGTATAATGATAATATATGGATTGCTAAACTCCTTGGATGGGGGGGCCTAGAAAACCATATGGTTGAACCTGGGACCCCAAAGGCCATGATTCAGGGAAGTTTTGGGAATCCAGACAGTAGCAGTGTCACATCCTAAGTGGAAGTGAGCTGTAGGTTGGGGATAAACCAACCAAGAGCTGCCAGGTACAGCAGTGGTCTCCAGCTATCATGCCTGGTGCAAATGCACTTGGGATGTGTCTACCACCTTCACTGCTCATTCTGCAGAACCTGGCATGCCCACTCCCTCACTTCCCTCTAAAGACCACTCTTTCCCCCACCTCCAAATTAGGCCATACCTCCATCAAGGCTGCGAGACATGGTGTACCGTTTGCTGGAGGAGCGCTCAAAGAAGGGTGCAGGCCGGTCGATGAGGGCACTGGCCTGGCGGGTCTGTGCCTGTGTCCTCCCACTATACCGGAACTTAGAGCCCATCACCAGGAAGCCCTTGGGTGGAGGCTCAGGGGACACCAGCCTGCAGCAGAGGGAAGAAGGTGAGGAGGGGATACCAGACCTGCATTTGCAGGCCCAAGGTTGGACTACAGCTGGCCTTTCATCCCACTGCCCCACCAACTATGACAACTTGAAGTGGTCCAGGAAGGGAGAGCCATGGGGAAAGGTGGGGTGGCTGCCTTAGAGTCCCCACTAACTCCTCCCACTGCTGCCCTGCATGCACACAGCCTCTGCCTCATCCCCGTCATTTCATCCAGGGCAGGCTCACCGGAAGAATGTGTGATGCTCGATGCAGACCTTCCATAGTCTCTTGGCTGACCGGTGGTTTGGGAGCTTAAAGCCAATAGTGCTTTCAAACTGCTCATACTGGAAAACCAAGAAGGACAGCTTAGAGGCAGGGCCTGGGCCCACTCTCTCACCACTGGCCTATCCTTTCTGAGCCTCTTCTCAGGCACGTGTGACTTTGGCCTGTTCATTCATTGAATCAATAAGCTTAATTGAGCCCTTATTCTGCACCAGGTCCAGTGTTAAACACTAGAGATACCAACTGTGGAGACCAAGACAGAGGATTCTGGGGTGGGGGAGGTCTCAGATAATAAATGAGCAAACAAGAAGCACTTGGGCCATTAAGAACTTGACTTATTCAAGGATCTCAAAGGTGGCCAGAAGAGCTGGAGCATCATGGATATGGGGCAATGTGGCAAGAGATAGTGGGGAGAGGTAGCATATGGCCATGGAAGGAGTTTGGACTTTAGCCCAAGAGCTAAAGAGAGCTCTTCAAAGGTTTAAGCGAAAAGTATGAATGGGGTGGGGGAGTGGGTTTAACATTATCTGATTTACGGGACTTTTAAGATCTCTTTAGCAGCTATGAAAAAAATGGCCTGAAGAGACAATGGAGGCAGGGAGACCAGTGAGAAGGACCCTGTAGAGACAGATGAGAAAAGGTGGCTGTTGGTGGCTGGCGCAGTGGAGAGGAAGAGAAGCACATGGGTTTGCATTGATTATAGAGGTAGAACCAAATGAACTTTCTGATGGGTGAGATGGGAAGGTTGAAGGAAAAAAGAGGTGTGGATGTATGCATGTTTGTCTGTTCATGTGTCGCTGAGTGTGTGGTCATGTGTCTATGTGTGTCTTAGCATGTGTAAATATTTGAGGACTACATATAAGCAAATACATGTACTATATACAGACTATATTCATTTATCTATGAAATCTATATATATGTGACTAACTTCTGTTGAGGCTCTTGTGTGCGTGTGTGTGTGTGTATGTGTGTTTGCATGCACACACCTAAGGTGTGAAGTTTACGTAGAAAGACACAGAAGAGGGATCTCTCCCCACCCAGAACCCCAGCAACCCTGTCTATGTATACTGGGTAGAAAACAATCCATATCCAGCTGCCAGAGTCCACTCTGTTCTAGCCAATGCAGTAAGGAAGAGGGGCTCCCAAGACAGGCTCACCTCCCCCGGCCGGATCTTGATATAGAAGTTACTCCTCTTGTAGGAGATCTTGAGAATCTTGGGCCAGGCGAAGCGATTGATTCTCAGCCGGTCCCGGTAGATAAGCAGGCCATTGGCACAGACACCTAACATGATGTCGATGCCCTCAGAGTCCTGGCACGAGAAGGGAGCATGAATGGGAAGCATGGGGTCCACATCTGGGGGCAGCCTGCCACCCATCCCCAAAACCCTCTCCCTGAGTCCTGCTTGTAATAAGCTCTCAGGGACAGAATTAGAGCCTTCACGCTAGAGTCCCACTGACAGATCCCTTTCATAATCATTCAGTCATTCACTTATCCACTTAGCTTTTTATTCACCAATTCACTTGTTCAATCACATGCTCTGTCAGTCACTCAATCGTTCATTCGTCCAGCAAACATTTAGTGGTACATACTCAATGCTAGGCCATGTGCTATGTGCTAGGGATACAGAAATACACTAAGGTCTGTGTCTCTTCCTCATGACACTCCCAATCTAGTAGTGGCACAAACAGGTTCACAAAGAAATATAATATAAAGAGAAAATGATAAAGATCATGGGAAAATAAAAGGTTATGGACCTATGAGAAATGAGAATAGAAAAGGTTTCAAATTGTAGGTAACACAGCATCTGGCACATCAAGCCCTCTGGAAGGCCTGACAGTTCACCAGGGGACACCACCCGGACATGAAGAGAACCCTTGGACCTGGTGGTACCTTGGCATGGTGCAGATCTACTCCATACATGGAAAGCTTCTTGGCGTTCTCTAGGAAGTGGATTTCTGCTTCTCCTGGGGTCATGCCCCTGAGGGAAAGAAAGTGATCAGAGGTGGCCATGGTAGTCTGAGTCCTGCTGGCTCAAGGTGACCACCATCAGAAGTCATCATCTTAGGAGGCAAATGTGCTGGAGTGGGCACATGGCTGAGCCTCACCCAATTCTTTCCCCTCTGTCCTCAGGGCAGGATGGCACATCCCCAGGTTCCCAGCTTCAGTCCACCCAACCCCCACCTTCTGCCAAAGCTTAAGTCCAGTCTCGTTTTCTTCAGGAAGCATGCAAGGGCTGAGCTGGGAGTCAGGATTTCTGTCTCATTCTGCTGCTGAGTTAAGTGTGAGTTATAAATTCTGCTTCTCCATCAATGTGAAACCATTGTTGAAGACATTGTTCATTATAATCACCCAGGGGCTCCTAAATTATTACTCATGTACGATATTTCTCTCAAAATTTAGTATCAGAAGCCACTTAATCTCTCCTGAGGAACAGGTGCACATTCTCCTTCTGAAAAGAAGAGTTATGTAATTAATCAAGTTCCTTCTTTGCTTTAGCTGCCAGAAAACCTGGAAGACATTTTATACTTAGCTACATTGAGTACTATGTGCTGGTTACTGTTCCAAGCACTTTACATGTATAAACTCACTGAATCCTTGTAACAACTCTGTAAGGTAGGAATTATTATTACTCTCATTTGACAGATGAGAAAACTGGCACAGATAGGTTGAATAACTTGACAAGGGCACAATGCTATTAAGTAGAAGAATCATGATTTTAATCTAGACAATGCGGCTCAGGAGTTTGTGCTCCTAACCACTTAACTACGTCTGTCTTTTATATCCTCTGGGCCTCAGTTTCCTCTGCCCTATCTACCTCTGGGCTGCCATGTGGGAGACCTGGACCCTAGATGTCAATGTGCTTTAGGTCCAAAGAGCTGTAGGAAGAGCCATTGGTATTTTTCCAGCACATATGGATCTGAATCTCTCTCTCTCAATTATTTTGACTCTCGAAAATCCTAAGACATCTTGCTATCTAGGACAGGGATGACAAATAGATGACAGATAGTTCACCACTCCCTATTCCTATGCCAGGTGGACACTGCTAACCAGTTGTAGGGTACCAGTATCCTGCCCGACACGATACCATTGCAGTCATCACTAACCAGGCAGAGTTGGTGTATGAGTCTCTGAGAGACAGCATTTGCCACCTTGACCTAGCAATCATCACACCACAGCAAGGTCTTCCCCACGATCCCTCCACATCTGGTCCTAGCCCTCCTCTCCAGATGCAGTCCATAGGACACAACTGTCCATCCTCAATAATAATGAGATATTACCATACTCCTCACAGGCACAGCCCTTTATAGTTTACAATGCACTTTCACAGAATTCATCACATTGAGTTCCTATAACAACCCTGGACTTGGAGCCCAAAGCTTCCAGCTTAAAACCACCCTAGGGATCATTTAGTTCCAGGGGCTCCTCTCCAGGGGAACCCACACAGCAGGCGATGGCAAAGGTGAGCATTTGAGTTGTTACAATGACTGAGAAGGTGTTATGGGCATTCACAGCATGGGGCCCAGGGATGCCAAACATCCTGCACAATGAATTCTCCTGCCCCAAATACCAATAGTTGAGAAAAACTGATAATCTAAGTCCGTGCATATACAGGTGAAAATGGGGCTCAGACAGGTTAAATAATCAGTCTGCAACCACACGTTTAATAAATTATTTTCCAATTCCTGGAATAAGGTGCTTTCCACTGCACAATCAATTATTCAACCCTTCAATTCACAAATAGCAACACTAATAGCCAACAGGTGGTGTGTCTTTAACACGTGTCATTTAGTCCTCCCACAATCCTACAAGGTCGGTTTAATAGCAACCACTTTGAACAGAGGAGGAAACCAAAGCATAGAGAAGTAAAATGACCTGCCCAAGATCCCCTGGTTAGAAACTGGCAGTCAGAATATGAACCCAAGCAGACTAGCTTTTGAGTCCAAACTTTTGAACTCTAGACAAGATCTAGCCATCAGGACACTTACCCAGAGACACAGAGTAGTGACTGTTATCTCTAGCTGGGAGATAAAGAAACTGATTTTCAGAGGCCAAGGATAGGTAATTATCACACCCATATAGGAGCTTAAGAAACTGGGGCCCCAAGAGGTCATTTAGGGTCACACAGCTACCCACTATCATTCCTATCTGCAGAGATGATTTGCTCTGAGACACACTTTAAAGGCAGAGCCAGGTGGGGTATGTATGGCATGGCATCCAGGGACCTAGCATATTCAGGCCTGCCAGGGAGGCTCCAGCCAACCAGCTAGAGTCAAGGAAGGCCCTGGGCAGCGACCCTCTCACCTGTATGTTTTGTGTAGCTCCATGATCCTTTCCTCCAGCTCCCGGGTCTGGTTAGGGGCGAAGCGGAGCTCGCTGACATAGTTGCCCACATGCTCCTCAGCATCATAGTCACCTAGCTCAGCCTGCACAGCATAGGAGCCCAGCAGGGCATGCGTGACAAAAGAGCAGGGCAGCCGGCCCGTGATGATGTCTGCCCGCAGCTGCAGGCACAGGTAGTATCTAGAAATGGGGGAGAGCAGTTGTGGGCATGGGGTCCCACTCCTCCCTAGATACCCCGAGCACAGCTGGTCCATTGGAACCACATGAATCAACACACAGCTCGGTAGAAAACAATGTTCGTAGACATTGGCATTTCATACATGGACGATTTGAGTGGGTTCTATGAGATGGTTTTATAACATTTCACGTGTGACATTTTTTGTTTTATTTCTAAATTTGAGAGGTTTTTTTTCCTACTATGAGAGCATTTTCAATTTCAAACTCATTCTCAAGCCAATGAAGATCACTTTGCTGGTTTAACAATTAAAAAAAGTAGGCCGGGCACAGTGGCTCACGCCTGTAATCCTGGCACTCTGGGAGGCTAAGGTGGGCGGATTGCTCGAGGTCAGGAGTTCAAAACCAGCCTAAGCAAGAGCGAGATACTGTCTCTACCATAAATAGAAAGAAATTAATTGGCCAACTAATCTATATAGAAAAAATTAGCCAGGAGTCCCAGCTACTTGGGAGGCTGAGGCAGAAGGATTGCTTGAGTCCAGGAGTTTGAGGTTGCTGTGAGCTAGGCTGACGCCACGGCACTCACTCTAGCCTGGGCAACAAAGCAAGACTCTGTCTCAAAAAAAAAAAAAAAGTCATATAGTTTTTTGTTGTTGTTGTTGTTTTTTGAGACAGAGTCTCACTCTGTTGCCCATGCTAGAGTGAGTGCTGTGGTGTCAGCCCAGCTCATAGCAACCTCAAACTCTTGGACTCAAGCAATCCTTCTGCCTCAGCCTCCCGAGTAGCTGGGACTACAGGCATGCGCCACCATGCTCCGCTAATTTTTTCTATATATTTTTAGTTGTCCAGCTAATTTCTTTCTTTTTTTTTTTTTAGTAGAGACGGGGTCTCACTCTTGCTCAGGCTGGTCTCGAACTCCTGAGCTCAAACGATCTGCCCGCTTTGGCCTCCCAGAGTGCTAGGATTATAGGCATGAGCCACCACACCTGGCCAATGTAGTTTTAATTATAGAATATTCTGTATACATATTGTGGAAAAAACACAAACTTTAGAGGTGACTCTAAATTTCTTCTGGGTGCCCATTCTCATTCCTAATCTCCTCCTCCAGAGGTCACCACAATTATTGTGTAATGTTCTAGACATTTCTTCTCCCTGGACATAAGGAAATGAATGTGCCTTTGATGTATGGGTGTTTTTAACATGCACATTGTACCAAATGCTACATCTGATTCTACAGCTCGCTTTTTCATACCAAACTCCATGCCTTAGAGCCTTTCCCATGTCAGCACATGCAACTCTACCCCATTCATTTTAACTTCCACATCGTATTCCACATCCCAGATGAACCTGCTCACCAATGCTTTCTCAAAACTTTCTTATTTTGCCTCTGGCACTAAGTGAATTGTCTAAAATCAATTTGGCTTAAAGAAACATTTCCAACCACCAGGCCATGATTTTTTATAACTTTTATACACACTTGGATTACTTTATAATTTTAGAGCCATTTAAAACCATTTTTATTGCTATTTTTTTTTTTTTGGTATATTAAAAAAATGTTTTGGGTTGTTTTCAGCCAGTGATGCTCCCTGTGCATTTTTGTTGTGTTCCACCATTTTTTTTTTCAATTGCCTATTTCTTTTCCTTTTAAGTGGCTTTTACTTAGTACAATTTTTACTGCTCTGTGACATTATTTTTTGGTCAGAAGTGAAGCCCTGGCAAAAAGTACATGTAGCCTCAGTGTGTGCTCAGGGCCAAGGTGCAGGCTCAGAATCAGCAGCAGCTCAGACGTCACAGCTACCGAGTATGGGCTTATGGGTATTGTGTTCAGAAGTCTAAAAATTCAAAAATCACTGCCAAATACTCTGACCAATCTTTCATTTCAATCAATTTGTCATTTTGACCAGTTTATTTCGGGCCTAACTATTTTTGACTAAGTCAGCTGCTACTACCATCCCTTCTCTGGGGGCCATCTGTGCTGGGCAGGGCTAATTTCCCTCCTGGTATCCCTAGATACCCAGTGCTCAGTGTCTGGCACAAAGGGGGAGGCACCAGTGGGCAAGACCAGAGGGCTGGGGGCTGTGCTGGCCTAAATCGCTCAGTCCTTGTGGGAATGGAGTTTCAGATCCTGCTGCTGCCATGTTGGCCCCAAGCTGACCCCAGGGCTCAACACAGGGCTAATGAGGCCAAGGCCTGGGGCCTGATCTATTCCAGGAACATCTGTCTTATTTCCCAAGGCCAGAGTCAGCATCCTGACCTTGGTCCGCTGCTTGTCAAACGGGCAGCCAACATTAAGGAGGGACCTAATAGGAGAGAGGTTGGCTTAGTCACCCCTCCCCTGCTATCAGAGAACTTCAAGCCCACATCTTATTGTTGATGGTATAGGGCCTACCACCTGGAAGACATGGCCCCAGGAGATCATGAAGTGAGACTATCTCTTTGAAGGAGCTCAGATAAAGAGAAGGGCCTCCCCCTAATTCTGGTTTCCAGAGGCAGGATGAGCCCCGTGGAAGCTTCCATCTTAAAGGATGCTTTGCAACCCATTCCATTTGCAAGCTGTGTTATCTATAGACCCCGTGGCACAACAACACTGCATACACAATCCCTGTTCATCACGGAAGCCCAGGCTTGCCTCCCTGGGGGGTCACAAGCCTCATTTGACCATCACATGTCTGACATGTGCACTGAGCAGCAAGCAGCACCAAAGTCCCACGTGCAACACTGTGTTCTATTCCCTCCATATCCCCAGCACTGCAAACTGGTGGGCCACTCAGCACCTACCTGACTTCATGTGTGTTTGGTGTGTCCCACCCAGAGATGGCCCGCACTGTTTTTAAAGTTTGCAATAGTTGCCAACACTTAAAAATTGTGGTTTTCACTCTCAAATCTCTAGCTTCACTTTAACAATCAGGCTGAATTCCCATGTGACAGTGATGGCCTGCAGCTGAATGGCAACTTTTCAGATGGCTTTTGTCCCCTTACAGGGGGCCCCCAGTTCCCTGTGATGCCTCCTCCTCTGAAGTCCAGGGTCAGCTGTTATTGACCGCTGTGTCTATGTCACTGTTTTTCTTGCACTGAGTCTGCTTCCTTTTTTTTTTTTTTTCTTTTTTTTCTTTTTTTTTGAGACAGAGTCTCGCTTTGTTGCCTAGGCTAGAGTGAGTGCCGTGGCATCAGCCTAGCTCACAGCAACCTCAAACTCCTGGGCTCAAGCAATCCTTCTGCCTCAGCCTCCCAAGTGGCTGGGACTACAGGCATGCGCCACCATGCCCGGCTAATTTTTTCTATATATATTAGTTGGCCAATTAATTTCTTTCTATTTATAGTAGAGACGGGGTCTCGCTCTTGCTCAGGCTGGTTTCGAACTCCTGACCTCGAGCAATCCGCCCGCCTCGGCCTCCCAGAGAGCTAGGATTACAGGCGTGAGCCACCGCGCCCGGCCTGCTTCCTTTGTTGATGCTGTTTGTCTGACCTCGGCATCAGCATTTGCAACTGCTGTCATATACGGCCTGTGTCCCCCAGGGCCAGGTGCCCTCATCCACAGCCCCGCACACCAGCATGCCTGCTCCTCCCTCCACAGCCCTTACCTTGTGATGTCTTCCGTCAGCTGGGCAGGGTCAGGGGGGTAGAACTTGACTGTGAAGGCAAAATTCCAGGGGCTGCCTGAGAGGAGAAGATGGGAGAGATCAGAGAGAACCCATCATCCCCAAAATGGCCCAAACTGGTCATCTAACCCCAAATCCCAGGCTCCTGACCACAATGACTCCTAGGAAAAAATAGCCTCAAAGGGAAACAATCCCTGTCTTAGGAATAATGATAGTAATAATAAAATGATAATAGCTAATACATACCGGGCCCTACTGTGTACAGGCACCATTCTAGGTGCTGTACATGTAATAACTCATTTAATCCTCATAACAATCCTAAATATAGGTACTATCATTACCCTACTTTACAGATGAGGAAACTGAGGCACATAACAGTTAAATAACACAAGAAATAGTGACAGAGTCAGGATTCAAACCCAGGCAGTCTGGCCCCAGGGTCTATCTGTTTAACCATCACTCCAGACCACTTCAGGGAAGCAAGAAAAAGTTACTGGGCACCTGGGTACTGTCCATACATATGCCATTTAACTGTCACTGCCCACCTCATGAGGCAGGAATTACTAATCCACTTGCCAAAGAGAAGCAGAGCCCCAAGGAGGTGGAGGACTTGCCCCATGTGATGAGCACTGAGGCTTGGTGGGAGATACACCCTATTCTGAACCCCAAGACTCAAGGACTCATGGTGCCACCTTCAGAAGGCTGAGGGGCTGTGACAAACAGAAGAAAGGGGGCAAAAATTTTCCAACCAGGGCCCCAGAAGGCAGGACTAGGATGAACAACTGGAAGTTACAGGGACTGTGGCTTTGCTGGAGAAAGCACTTGCCAAGGCTCGAGACTATTCCTTGATGACTTGAGGTGGACGCAAGAAGCAACCATCCACCATGCCTGGGCCATGTCAGCAGGCTGCAGACAAGCTCTAAGGATGGATGCCAAGACCTGACTATTTGGTCCAGCCATCTATCTTTCCCAAGCTCCTGGTCCTTAGCAAACACTGCACACTTGGTTGCCTGTATATGTTCTAATTCCCTCAGGCATGAGAGGCAGGTGCCCAGCCAGACTGGGGCTTCTGGGGGACAGCATAAAGCCCAGGCCTTAGGACCGCATCAGCACCCAGAGGAGCTTGCTCTGTATGCCTGCCTCTTTGTCTCCAACTAACAGGAGGCTACAGGAAGAATTCCTGGAGCCCCCTCCTGCACAGTCAGCTGGCTTCCCTGGGCCCAGCTGCCTGCTGTCATGGTAACAGGCTCAGCTACAGCCTTCTAGCCAGGGGACCAGGGATTCCAGGAGAGACTAACCACAGCCAAGGAGGAGGGGCGCTGGGTGGAGGGATCTCTGCCTCTGGGCTCCAGGTCTCCAACGATTCATGCTGCCTTGCTGAAGCTACCTACCAACCCCTTCTGCCATTTGAAAGCTGCCCCGCCCCTCTCAATATGCCTTTTCTCTCTGGGCCAGAAAGGACAGGCTGTTGGCCTGCTCATCTGCCTTCACCCCAGGCCTTGTAAAGAACACAGGATGGTGTTGGAAGACCAAGGTTCAAGACCTGGCTTAGACAATACTTGGCTCTGTGACCGTGGGTAATAACTGACTCTCTCTAGGCCTCTGAGGAAAGGGTCATTGTTCACTGAAGTCTGCACCAGCCCTGGACAGGAAGGTGGCTGTTTCCAGGCCATCTGCTTATCTTCTGTCCTAGATGACTCTGAAGGTCCCTTCTAGGGCTGACATCCTGAATACATTTATGATTCCTCTATTAACTTGCTATACAACTCTGCATGGTCCTTTCCCTTTTCTGGGCCTCAGACTGGTCATCTATACAACAATGGTCAATGGTCACTTCAGTCCTGGCCTCCCCCAAAGTCTGCCATGCCCAGTGAATGAACTCATGGGTCTGAATGCACTTTCCTAAGTAGGAGGGAGCAGGACAACTGGGACCCTTGTAACCTGGGGCCCTTGTAACCTGAAGCCCCGCCTCCCTTCCACCACATTCCCAACCACAGCCAGACACTCACTCCGGATCTGCTTCTTGATTTCCTTGGAGGGGTCCAGCCAGTTCTAAAAGAAATGACAGAGATCTTTAGGGGGAAGATGGAAGAGAGAACCTGGATCGGGCTGGGAGAGAGAAATATCCTGACACATCTGTTGACAGCCCCTAGCAGGGAACACCCTTCCTTAGCTGAACTTTCTGGTCCCTTTTCCTTAAGATTGGGAGGCGAGGGGCATGAGGCCTGGATTCACCACCAGGCCTGGGACCCAGTGCCCTGGAGCTGGCATTGCCCTGGGACTGCCATGGTGACTAGGTAATGAAGCCATATTGGGACTGGCAGGAAAGAGGAAACTTAGACAGGAGGCTCCCAGGGATAGGGAAGAAGTGATGGCAGGGAGTGCCTCAGTTCCCCCAGACAACTCAAGCAGTCACACCAGGGCTGTCCAAATACCTGTCTGGGGGCAACCTGTGGGTCACAAAGAAATGAATGAGGGTGAGGGGTGGAGGGAGAGAAACGAGAGAGTGGATAAGGCTGGCTGAGCCTTGGGGACATGCAAACAGTAGGTGCCTAATGGATATGTGAGAACTGATGGAAGCCATGGGATGGGGCCAGGATTATGGGGACCTAAGAGAAGAGATTTATACCTCCCAGCAGGGCCAACCCCTGCCTAGCCCTGCTCCCCAGCCCAGGTACCTTTTGGCTGTCCGCATCACAGAAGGTCAGGCCAAAGTAGTCCTTTTCCAGGAGGTTGAGGTGCTCACAGACCAGGTCAAATAGTACCTGGCCCCGGCCATGTTTCTAAAGAGGAAAGCAGAGCTTCTATGAGGCTGGAACGCACCCTAGAGTGGGGCTGGAGACACCCAAGGCTCCACTAGGATAACTCAAAACCCCCCAAGGGCCGTTCAGCATCTAACCAGCAATGTGGCACTCCTGCCACCCCACCTAGCTCTGCTCTGAGTCCTAAGGGATCCTGGGGGTGACACCAATGCCCAGTGCCTCAACACCTGTCTTCCAAATTCTGCTGGGGTCTTTCTGGCCCTTGAACTTGCTTGGAGAGAAGTTGAAATGGGGGTGTCAGGAGTGACTGATTTATCCTTCCTTTATAGGATTAAGAGAAGGAGGCTAACTTGGACCCAAGGAATAGAAAACCCAAAGTCCTAAGCTTGGGAGGAAAACAAGAGGTCCCTGAAATATATGAGAAGTGGGCAGGGGCAGAAGGGGAGGGCCAAGGACTCAAGGTCAGAGTGTGACTCTCATTCCCTGGGCCCTCCCCTTAACTGAGAGAAACCCAGGGTACCACAGGCTGGAGTGCCACCTCCTACCCCACAGCAAGTGCGGTTTTACAGAGGCTCATGGGGCCTCCATTAGCTTCCGATGCACCCACTCCCACACAGCTAGCCTTGGGGCCTCTCTGAACCACCATCCAGGCCTGAGGATTCAGAACGATGAAGCCCAGAACCTGGCTGGGCACTCCAAACCCCAGGTGTGAACTTGGGCACCAAGAAAGAGACCACAGGGCAGAGGGAACATGAGGCAGTCACCACCAAAGAGGTAGGGACTCCAAGGAAAGGGTGAGATCCCTTTAAGGTCTGGAACCAAGCCTGACAAGGAATTCCCGAGCCTGGACGAGTTCACCGGGGAGAATGGCCCTGGCCTCAGCCAAGCCCTTCATGCCCGTCTGGGGCAGGCTTCAACAGCATGTGGGGGCCCATGAGGGTAGGAGAGTAGAAAATAGCCCATTCTTTTATCTTAGGAGCAGGGAAGGTGTCCATCCTGAAACCTTTCTATAAAGGAAATACACATAAAAACAAAACAAAGCAAAACAAGACCCCGCAGAGAAGAGGGACTCAGCCTTCCAGGGCTCAGAAGTAAGTCACATCCCTTCAAACTAGGGTATGGAAGAGAGAGGAAGGTGGATCCTACAATCTCTATAGTAAAGCCACCCTCTGAACTCTTCCATACGTGTGAAGAAGGGCCAGGAATAGTGCCTAGACAGGGGTAGAACCCTGAAGGGCTCACAGAGGGGACAAGTGAGTGCTCAGAATTAGGGTGTGAGTCTGGGCTTATACAAGAAAGGGAGACACTAAATGTGGGGCCAGCAGGGCCAACCCCAGAGAGTGGGCATCTGCTGTGCCACTGCTGTGGGGCAGGGCCATCCACAATGGCTTCTACGCAGCCTGGATGGGAACATCCTTCCAATGGGCCATTCCTTGTGACTAACACACTTACCATAGATCCCTCAGGTTACTCGTTTGTCTTGGAGACTGGAGGTGGTACCCTCAAGTATTTATAAGGAAGGCGGATCCCTTTCTCCACCCAATAAATACATAAAAATGATTCTAGTTTAAACATCAGTGTCTCTTGGGTTAGAGAGGAGAGCCCAGTTCCTAGGCCTACTGGGCTGCAGATCAGCCCTTAGACTGTGGTGTCCTTGCCAAGGTACAGTCACCCTGAGACAGCTTTTCTTGGTGCCAGCCCTGTACCTTGTCTAATTCTATTTGCAATCATAACCACCTTCTCTGGGTCTCAGTGCCACCATCTGTACAAAGGAAAGCCAGGGTCAGGTCATCTCTCTGGATGCTGCAGTCAGTACAGGACTCCTGTGGTTTGGGCCAGGCTGGGTACTCATGGGAGCCTGCCCTGGCTCTGACAGCGACTGGGGATGGGGCATATGGTGCTAGGTGCTCCCCTACCTCCACCTCACACTCATACTCGGAGGCATCAAGCAGAGTGACTCGGCAGATGGCACTCTTGTATTTCTTGGCAATCTTCTGGGGTGATTTCTGGGCCTTGCTGGGCGTGGTCCTCTCTGACAGGCCATCAGCCTCACTGTAGTCCTTCTCCTCCATGTCTAGGCTCTGCAGGTCCAACCAAGGGAAGAGTCTGGTCAGTGAGCTTGAAACCGTGGCCTTTCATATATAGGAGAAGCAATAAGGAGACAGCTAGGGCCCAGACAGATCCCAAAATGAGAGTCACTCCCCTTGTAGGCCCAGGAGGTGACCAGGGTCTATGGTTGGTGTATATAGGAAGAGAGCCAGAGCTCCCGTATGCAATGGGGTAGACTCACATGAGGGTTCAACTTCTTTCCTGCAGGCTACTGCTGTCATAGACAGCCTCTGCAGGTAGAGGCACCCCACAAAACCAAACCAGTGGCCAGAGCTGCCCTGTCTCCCTAGGGCAATGCATGAGTCATCAGGGCATCCATCTGGTCTCCTCCTGTGTGTCTGTCACTGGATCTAGCAGGAGGCTGCAAGCTGTGGACTCATTTAAAGGAGGGCTGGGAGGCCAGAGCCCATCCACTAGTCCTAACTCTGCCACTGACTCCCTCGATGAACTTGGCCAAGTCCCCACCCTCTCTGGGCCTGTTGTGAATTAAGGAAGGTGTGGGTTAGATGGCTAGGTGAGCCCCTTATAGCTTTAAAGTGGTGAGTTTTGCTCTGAGGTCACACTGGGCTTGCTAATCTAGAATGAACAGGTTTAAGGGGTAGGAAAATAAACTGAAAGAACATGGGCTTCAAAATCAGACCTGGATTTGACCCCACCTCTATCACTTTATGGCAATCTGACTGTGGGTAACTCACTTTATGCTGCTGAGCCTCAGTTTCTCCAAGTGTAAAATAGGCAGGGGGGGGTGTTAATAGTTACCCTCTTCAGTTTGGGTGAATTAAATATAACAATGACCACAATGCTCCCAGTATAGTGCTCAGCATGTAACAGGTCACTTACTGAATCTTAGATTCCTTCTTTCCTACCCCCTGAGAAAATACCAGGGCCCTAAGAACTAGACTTGGAGAACTAAGCAGGAAAAGGGACGCTCATGCTCGAGCACACACCTGTTCAGCAGGCCGAGTGTCCTGCTGGGGCGGATGCTTCTCATTGGAGTTGGCCTCCAGGTGGCCGTGGCCTGCAGGGGTCACAGGGGTGGTCACAGCAGCAGCGGCCTCAGGCTGCTGTGGGGCCTCCTCCTGTGCCTTCTTCACCTCAGAATCAGGGCCTGTCTCTGTTGTCATGGTGACCAGCACGCCTGCATTGGCATGAAGGAGAACATGTGACGAACAGGGACAGCAACCGTGTGACAGAGGAAGAGGGGCAGGAACCACATGCGGAGAGAGACAGATGGAGAAGAATGGACAAAAAGCCACAGAGAGAAGGAAGGAGGGAGGGAGGGAGGGACAGAGGAAGTGGGGATGGGGAGAGTCATGGGAAGTGAGGGGTTGGTGGCTGAGGTCACAGGCATCCCTCCCACCCTGTGTTCACAGCCCCTTGGCCCTTCCTCAGGATGATGAGAGTCTCTCCAGGGAGCCCTGCTCTGCCAGGAACATAGGGGACAATCAGTGACCACCTCCAGGCATAGCCCCTGCTAGGCTGGCTCTCCAGCCACATCACCTGGCACTTGGCAGCCCCTCAATAAATGCTGGATGCACTGAATACAACCAAAGAGCCCTGGGTTCCAGGCTCTTCTGGTGCTGAATTTGGGCAAGCCTCTTCATGCCCCAAGCTTCAATTACTCCTGCCTGCTAACTTCATAGGGATGTTATCAGGATGGATCCAAAGGAAGAATGACAGGAAGGCACATTTTATTTTTATTTATTTATTTATTTTTGAGACAGAGACTCACTTTGTTGCCCCAGCTAGAGTGAGTGCCGTGGCGTCAGCCTAGCTCACAGCAACCTCAAATTCCTGGGCTCAAGCGATCTTACTGCCTCAGCCTCCCGAGTAGCTGGGACTATAGGCATGCACCACCATGCCCAGCTGATTTTTTCTATATATATTAGTTGGCCAATTAATTTCTTTCTATTTATAGTAGAGACAGGTCTTGCTCTTGCTCAGGCTGGATTCCTGAACTCCTGACCTCGAGCAATCCAGCCACCTCGGCCTCCCAGAGTGCTAGGATTACAGGCGTGAGCCACCGCACCCGGCCTAGGAAGGCACATTTTAAAAACACACGGCCCTGACAAGGTAAAAGTCAAAAGAATGGGGCTCAAGTCCCGAGCCTGCCACAAATGGGGCAGTCCCTTCACCTCTATGTGACTGATCCAAAAAGTGAGCAACTCAGAGAAATTATCTGTGGCACAGACTATTCTTACCATTTCCCCCTTGAAGCAGTAAGTGAGATTTCAGAGAGAATCAAGAACCCATTGACCAGCTATTCTATTGGAATAAGTGAATTGCAGAGAGAAAGAGAGAATGGCATGGTCCTGATTTTATATTTGAAAAACAAAACAATAACCTCAACAAGCTTTGTTTGTGTTTGTACACATCTAGCAGAAGATCTGAAAGGGATAGTCACAAAATCGTTAAGAAAGGTTAATAACTCAGAAGTGGGTAAAGGAAAATGAAAGAGATCCAGGAGAATGAGAAGGCATAAGAGAGGAAGCTTCATTTTTTACTTTATATACTCTGGAATTACTTTTATCTTTGTAAATATATATATTTATGTATTTTCTTATATATACCCACAAGTTGGATTTTTTTTTAAAAAAAAAGGGGGGCAAAAGCACCCATTGTTGACCCCAATCAGTGGATCTTTAAAAAAATGACTGGAGCTAAACCCAGAGGAATAGAGAAATGGGCAGGAACCCTCACTTCTGAGTCTAGACCCTTCTTCTAAATGCATCACATTTCATGAGAAAAATCCAGACTAGACTGGCCCCCTGCCCTGTGCCATCCACCATGGGAGGCTTCTGATGGGCAGAGAGCCAGCCAGTCAGACAGACAGACCCAGCATCCACCCTGGGCTGACCACCTGTTCCAGGCCCCCTGCCCCCACTTCCTTTTCATTCTTCAGTTTTTCTCCCTGCATTCCAGTGGGCACAGCCTGGCCCAAAGCCAAGAGCACTGGATAGAAAGGCAGGGACCCTGATTGCCCCACTCAGCCACAGGAGCCCCCCAGGGCCCTGAACGTTCTCAGTCCCTACAGAGTGGATAATGAGGGGAAGGCTTTGTAAGCTGAAGTTCATAGTACAAATCAGAGGGTTCATTGTTAATAATGCTGCTATCAAGAAGTAAGATGAGGCTGAATGCAGTGGCTCATGCCTGTAATTCCAGCACTTTGGGAGGCTGAGATGGGAGGATTGCTTGAGGCCAGGAGTTTAAGACCAGTCTGGGCAACAGAGTGAGACCCTTTCTCTATAAAAATAAATTATCCAGGTGTGGTGGTGTGCACCTGTAGTCCTAGCTACCTGGGAAGTTGGGGCTGGAGGATCATCTGAGCCCAGGTATTCAAGGTTGCAGTGAGCTATGATGTTGCCACTACACTCCAGCCTGGGCAACAGAGAGGGATCCTGTCTGTAAAAAATAAAGTAGTAAGATGAGGAGAGGAAGGCAAGGTCTTGGTCCCCATGGCCTCATCCCCACCTAGAAACGCTTCCCAATGCAATCATTATTCTAGGCTTTATGGGTAAAATTTAAAGCCATGGTTAAATAAAGTCTCTCTGTCACTAACACAACAATAAGTGCCAACTCCAGGCCAGGACACAAAGCAACAAGAGTGGCTCTGGGGGAGCTCACATCCTCGAAAGGGTCGAATTTATGCCTGTCTGCCTGGCTAGGGATCTTTTCTCAACCTATACTTTAAGGATATTGGCCATTAAGTCAGATAAGGCCCCTAGGCAGGAACCCTTAAAATAAATGCCTACTTAATTCGGCTTAAAAAAAAAAAAAAAGAATACACAGACTAATCTGTATGTTTTCTGCTGTGAGAAGCAGAATCCACATGACCCTCATGGCCCAGGCAGCCAATAGGCACATTCACTTCTCCCTTTCAGATGGCCTCTGTCTGGTTTCAGCCCAGACTCCCAGAATTTTCCCCAGGCCTGACTCTGTTTAGAAAGAGCCAGGAAAGCAAACTTAAGTAAACATCCCAGTCTTCCTCTGCCCGGGTCTCCAGCAGAGCCTGCTGACAGCAAATGCCTGGCGCTACCAGAACCACAGATGAAAGGAGCTGGAAGTCTTTTGAGATAATTAAATCTACTCCTCTTCTTTTATAGGTGACACCCAGAACAAGAGACTTGAGTGACAGTCATTTCCTTAGACAGGTTTCCCCTGGTTCCTCCACCCACTCTCACCCCTACTCAGCCTCCTAACTTCCCCGTTCCTAACTCTGGGTCCATTTTCTCTCCACCGTACTTTGCTGTGTTAAGCAAACCCCAAGAGAATCCCCTTGAAGGAGAAAGTGCTCAGACCCTGGCTGAAAGCCAAGGAGGTGTCAGGAGCCACGTCTGCACCTCTGTACCCCATGGCCAAGGGCTAGTGACATAATCGATGACTCATCCACTTTAGAGAGTAAAAACGAAAAAAATAGGTGTAAAAAATCATGGAAATTATTTGAGTGAAAAAGCATGATCTACAACAGTTTATACAGATTGATCCTATTTTAGTTAATACACAAACACATATACAGAAAATTCAGCAAAGTATGAACTATTGTTATTTCTGAGTGGCAGGAGTACAGATGATTATTTTCCTTTTTCTGTTTAACTGTAGCTGTTGATTTTTCTACTATATTTGGAGATTCCTTGAATGATTAAAAAAAATTAGAGGCTAAAAAATAAATTTTTTCTGATGCACATGGCTTGGTATGACAGGATGAGACAACAAAGTCTGTTTAAATTATTTTTAATTTATGAATTAAAAAGATAAATAATGTTATTATTTTTTAAACCTAAGATGAAATCTTTCTTTATTTCACAAGTCCAAGGATAACAGCATGGTTCTCTCACTAGGCCACAGAAAGGGAGCCAAGAACCTGGCCCTGGCGTCTGACACAGCCTGCCAGGTGGCACTGTTCTGCCCAAGCCCAGGTCAACATAGGGATGCAGCCAGGGACAGAACCCACCAGGCAGCCGAGCTCTGTAGGGGACCCCAGCAGGAAATACTTGCTGGTTTCCGTGTGGAGTTCACTGCTACGTGGGAGGAAGAGGCTCACCCAGGAAATGGCTAAACACTCAGCCAGGATGAGTATATGATTTGCCAGGTCTGTTTCAGCCTCTCAGAAGAGTCTGGGGACCTGGTGATCTGGAATGTGGTTCAGAGCTCCCAAAGAAGGCTTCTGGGGTAGGGGGTGAAGGCAGAGTTAGATTGTGAAAATAGGGAGCACTTAGACAGGAGACAGCAGGGAGGGCATTTGGCCTGAGTCACCATGTAGGCAAACGCCCAGAGATGGGAAAAGGGCAGGGAACAGAGAGGAGACCTTGACATTTTGACACCTGAGAATGAGAACTCTATAAAGGTGAGCACCAAACAGCCTGGAAGGAGGACAGGCTGGAGTCTAGGAGAAGTGAAGGGGCTGGGGTTGTGCCAGTAGCTCTGCAAGAGTCAGAAGCATCTCTCGCAGGGCAGCAAGGCAGCAGGGCAGGAGGCTCTACTGCTCAGTGGTTAAGAGCACAGGTTTAGGAGTCAGGAAGACCTAGACAGAAGCCCAGTGAACTTGGGGAAGTGACTTCACTTCTCTGAGCTTCACTTGCCTCTTCTATAGAATGGAGCTACTCCTCCCTCCCTCTCAGGGTGGGGATGGACATTCAGGAAAATAACATAGAGCACTTAGCATGGTATGCACCCAATAAAACAACCCTATGGTCTATAATTACAAACAATAATGGGAAGCCACAGTGAGGAGGGGACTGAGAACAGGAGTTCAGAAGTGCCCACCCAGAATGAATGGAGAAAGAGATGCTCTGAGAGATAGAGGCCAGCAGGGACAGACTGATGACACTAACATATGAAAGGCCTAATGCATAGGATTAGAAAAGCAAAAGGTCAGCTAGAGAAGTAAATGCTGACAGCATCCACCCCAGCCCTGTCTGGGGCAGAGGGGCCCAGTGAGGCCGGGAGTGCTGGACTGGCCCGGGCTGGGGCTGGCCCAGCAGGCTGTCAGCATTTGATGCTCTTCAATATTGCAGTCACCGTCTGGCTCCCCTGGCTCACCTTCCAGTAGCACTAAGTAGCCTTCTCATGCTGTGCCTTTTCATCTGGGTGGCATGCAGGGAGAGGGTGTCTTACCCCAGCTGAGGCAATATCCACTCA